ACTATATCTGGTCTCTTTGGACCCTGCATTCACTATATCTGGTCTCCCCAGACCTGCATTCACTATATCTGGTCTCCCCAGACTCTGCATTCACTATATCTGGTCTCTCCAGACCCTGCATTCACTATACCTGGTCTCCCAAAGTACACACATCATTGCAATTATTTTAGTAAATATAAACTGCTAAATACATTTTCTCATCAGCAGTTTTGTGACTTCTATCAGTGCCCAGCTGAGCACTGGTTAAAGCTTGTCGGAGGAGTTTTTTTCTTTCTGCTCTAAGAGGATGCAGAACCCCTGACCTCTGTCTGGACAGTGTTGATTTGCCCTGTGCTGATCACATGCACTCTCCCAAGAAAAAAAAAAACCTCCCTAGCAATACACACTAAACTGAGCATGTGCAGAGTGGCTCTGCACGATATATCTTATCAGGAGTTTTCATTCTTCTCTGACTGTCCTATGAGGCTGCATAACCCCTGACCCTCTGTCTGGACAGTGCTGATTGGCCCTGTGTTGATAACATGCACCCTCTCAAAGAAAAAAAAAAACCTCTCTAGCAATACACACTAAACTGAGCATGTGCAGATTGTCCCTACACGATATATTTTATCAGGAGTTTTCATTCTGCTCTAAGAGGATGCAGAACCCTGACCTCTGTCTGGACAGTGTTGATTGGCCCTGTGCTGATCACATGCACTCTCCCAAGAATAAAAAAAACCTCTCTAGCAATACACACTAATCTGAGCATGTGCAGATTGTCTCTACACGATATATCTTATCAGGAGTTTTCATTCTGCTCTGACTGTCAATGTACATTGTAACCAATCAGCTTCAGTTAAGCTTTGACAATAAAACCTGGAAGCCGATTGATTTCTATACAGAGCTGCACCAGTTCTAGTAAAACTCCCCCTTACTGTCCCGCGCCCATCCTTTTTATTTATCGGATTTTAGTTCTGTTAAATGCAGAGACTCAACATCACATGTAGGCTTTAGCTAGGGTGGTCTGTTTTTTTAGGAAGCCTCCCAGCAGCCATGATCTGCCTGCCATGCACAGAAAAGCACAGAGACCCTGTGATGATCTCAGTGGGTCTAAAAGAAGGTATATAATAAAAATAGAAAGGTTTTGTTTAAAAAAAATGTCAATAAAGGCAACCTATATGCTCATTAAACTTCAAACCAAGAAAGGCTTTTATGTTTACTGATAGAGCACTAACATAGTTAGTCTGGCTGAAAAAAGACAAAAGTCCATCCACCTCAACCATTAAAAAAAAAAAGTTATAATCGTATACCCACAGTTGATCCAGAGGAAGGCAAAAAAAACAGCAAAGCATGAAAATGTTAACTCTGTTGCCTGAGAAGTGCTATTAGCTGAGAGTGTGGATAAATTCAAAAACTTTAAGATCTCTTTAATGTAACAAAAAAAAACTTTAAGATACCCTAGGCACCATAATATACACTCTTAAGACTAGGTTCACACCTATGCATGTTGCGTTTGACCCGTTTCTGCATTTTTGCACCTGGTTTTTGCCGCGTTTTTTTTTTCATGTATTTTTTTTTCTTGTTGCTAGGCAAATTTAAAACGCAAAACACATCAAAAACGAATACAAAATGCAGTAAAAAATGCAATACATGCTTTTCTGCAGTGTTGCCATTGAAGCCTATAGATCTAAAAACGCAACTTTTTGCGTTCAAAAAAGTCCCTGACACTGAATGTTTTTGGCTTTTGAGGTTTTTTCTGTACAGCCAGTAAACCCCCCAACATGTTATCCTATGTGTCCATACACACATAGACTGTAATCAATGTTTTTTTGGCTGGAAAAAAACCCAGGACTAGTGGATTGCTAGAGGAGTTTTTTAGCTGTAAAAACGCTCTAACACTGTAAAACGCAGAAAACCAGCATTTTTGGACTTTCTTTGACCAAAAATTTTTTTTATTTTTTGGTAAAAAAAAAACACTACAAACGCAAATGAGGAAAAATGCGTGAAAATGCTGCAAAAGGCTGCAGATGCTAATGCAAAAAAGCTGAGTTTTTTAGCTGTAAAAACGCTGTAACGCTGAAAAATGTGGTAAAACTCAGCAAACCGGTGTTTTTGTACTTTTTTTGACCAAAAATATTTTTCTTTGGTAAAAAAAAGCTAAAAAACACAAATGCAGGAAAACGCCACAAAACGCTAATGCAAAAACGCTTAAAAAGCTGTAAAAAAAAAGCTGAGTTTTTTTAGCTGTAAAAACCCTCTGATGCTGAAAACCGCGTCAAGACACGGTAAAACGCGGCAAACCGGCGTTTGTGGACTTTTTTTGTTAAAAAAATGCTAAATTGGTGGTTTTATTGCGCTGCCTACCTTCCTGCCTACCTTACTAATGTATTTAACTTTTATGTTCTACATAACTGTACCTTTTTGGACAGAATATTACAGATGTGCCTTTTGTTTCTGTTGTATGTTATACCTTATGCTGTTAAGCTATTTTTGCAGCCTATTTCTTAATAAATAAAAATCATTTATAAACAAAAAAAAACGCTAAAAACTGCAAACACAGAAAAACGCAGCTAAACGTGGAAAAATGCCGCTAAACGCTAATGCAAAATTCCGCTGAAAATCTCACGTTTTTAATGTGACTTTACACCGCTAACAGTATCAGCATTATTAAAACACGCCGTGTGCGTGGAGCCTCAAGGTCGTGGTGTCCTTGTGGTTTGATTTCTATGTGTATAAATGTGGATACCATGTACAGTACTTGCAGCTCACAGGCATATGGGCAGCACAGTGGCTAAATGGTTAGCACATCTGCCTGGCAGTACTAGGGTCATTGGTTCGAATCCCGACCACAGCACCACCTGCCTGGAGTTTGCATGCTCTCCCTGTGCCTGTGTGGGTTTCTTCTGGGTACTCCAGTTTCCTTCCACATTCCAAACACATGCTGGTAGGTTAATTGGCTCCTGTCTAAATTGGCCCTAGTATGTGTATGTATGAATGTAAATTAGGTACCTTAGATTGTACACCCCTTGAGGGTTAGGGACTGATGTTAATGTACAATATATATGTAAAGCACTGCATATATTGATGGCACTACATCTGGAAGAGTTAACAAAAATTTGGTACATGTAATAATTTGTGAAAATAGTGAAGGTATAAGACCAGCAAACTGCGCTAAATGATTAATAATTTATAGTTTATCACTTCTATATCATATCTGTGTATAAACCACTATGCTGCCACTTTAAAATATAATAAACAAAATATAAAAAAAAAAAAACTTCAAAAAAGTATTCCGGTGGCGCATAAATCAATTATCAGTATAAAAAATTACTTATAAAAAAAAATATATATAAATTATATACATAATAAATAATATTTGCCACATAAAAAATATTAGTGGTGTAACAATAATTAATAATTGATGATATTCCAAACGAAAAGTCCAAATAACTCAGTCCAGGAAACGATCACCCCGTGAAAAAAATATAAATGTATAAATATGCAATGCTCCCTTTTCTGGTGTGCACTCACCAAAACGTGTTGCCTCACACTCTCATGGTTGGCACACTAGGCTTTAATAGACGATTTTCCAAGAAATGAATCAGACCACTTGTGATATTTTATTCTCCTTAATCTTGAGATATTGGAATCCCAGGACAAACGCTCCTGAACTCCAGCATACACATTCCTCCTCCCAATGCTCCACACAGAGTCTGCAGTCCTTGCTGCTTGGCAGACAGAGCAGCCTGCTAACGTGATAGCCACATGGGGAATGGAGCCACCCAGTAAATATCTTAGGCCCCATGTACACGGGACACTTCTGAATGATGGAAACTGACTGCTGGAAAACGTAAGTTAAAAAACGTCTGTTTAGCCACGTTTGCATAAAGCGATTATGCACATTTATGTGCATTTGAGTTTAGAAGCGTTTTTTAAACATAAGCACAGGAGAACCTCCCAAATGCCCAGAATGCACTGAAAAGTGGTAAATTATTAACTATTTCAGACTGTTTCAGAGAAATACAGAGAGTAGAAGCAGAGACAGCAGTATGTGTTGAGATTAGCTTAGGTGTGAGTTGCTAATTACATTTCTTTTGTTTCCAAGGGTGGGTTTCTGGTGGAGTGAGTCATTAAGGCCACCTGGCAGGGGGTCTTCATGAGGAATTTGAGGTGTGAATGGTCATTAACATATCTTTTGTGTCCAATGGTGTGATAGGTGTCTGGTGGAGTGAGTCATTAAGGCCACCTGGCAAGGGGTCTTCATGAGGAAATTGAGGTGTGAATGGTCATTAACATATCTTTTGTTTCCAAGGGTGGGAGAGGTCTGAGGTGCGAATTGGTCATTACAATGTGTGACAAGCTTGGTAGGAACATCCTGTGTTCAGTGTTTTGTCCATTTGAGTACCTTGAAAATGCTTCGCATGCATTTTTTATGATGAGAAAAGGCTTTGGACAGCATTGGGAACTGGAAGAGTTAAAAAAAATTTGCAAATGCTTATAAATGCGATGCACTGCAATTAGCTGCGTTTTGCGTTTGAAACGCTGATAAAAATCAACTGCTGAACGCAAGTTTTCTGCGTTCGGAAAAAAGACTGTAAACTCAAATGCCTGTAAATGACTGTAAAGGACGATGTGTACATGGACACATAGGAAAACATTAGGGGGAGTTCAGGGGCTGCTGGAAAAAAACAGCTCCTAAGCGTGAGTTTATTAGCTACAGTGTACATGAGCCCTTATTCTGAAGAAATAGCTGTGCTATTATTTATTTATATATATATATATATATATATATATATATATATATATACAGTGTGTGTATATATATATATATATATATATATATATATATATATATATATATTAATTTTTTTTTTAATTTATAAGGAATGTTTTATACTGATAATTGATTTATGCGCTGCCGGAATACTTTTTTGAAGTTTTTTTGCATATGTAATAATTTATGTTGTGAAAGATACGTTGTTGGCTTCTCTCTCGCTAACTATTTTCTGTTCCCTCCACAGTTTGAAGGCAAGACGTCATTTGGGATGTCAGTGTTTAACCTGAGCAATGCCATTATGGGTAGTGGGATCTTAGGTCTGGCCTACGCAATGTCCAACACAGGAATCATTCTTTTTGTGTGAGTACTCCTTCCCTTCTAACGGTTCCCTGTTTCCTGGCACAGATCCAGGTTCCTATCAGTTTGGGAAAGTCCTTTCCATGAACAGCTTCTGTCAGAGTAATAGCCCTAAACAGCTGCCGTTGGAGAGATTGCAGGCTCATATTCCCACACTGAGAACAGCCTGGACTCAGTATACAGACAAGCCTGGATTATATACATGCACAAAGACCACCTTACATAGCACAGTATACTGACCACTTATGTAATTAAAGTGCAATGCTAGGAAAACATAAAAACACCAATTGCTTCTCTTATAAAATCTTGCAAACCTTCACAAAGTTATTTCTTTTTAATTCAGTTAATGTGATGATTGAAATATTTCTTCATATTGAGTGTACCCCACACCAAGTGAAAAATGAGATCAGGCTTGCGGTGAAGTTGGCTGCTCTGTTGGCTGGTGGGTGGGATGGGGAGGTGTGTTGCTGGAGATTACAGGAGGGAAAGAACTTGCGGTAAGCATATCGTAGTTAAAAACTGCAATTAGACTAAACCCACTTCCAATATAATACTGCTGCTGCCATGAAATGTGTTCCCACATAGACAGATATACTGTATAGACCAGTGCTGACGTATTGTACACCGCGTTACAATTTATAATGTGCAATCCTCATAATAAAGTGCATGTGCAATTATAGATCAACTCCCATATAACTTCTTATAAAGCGCATAGAATACCCACAGTGCATTACAATACAATCACAATGTGTTCATCTTGCAACATGGTCATTAACCCCTTGACACCGAGCGCACGCAAATATGTGGCCTCTCGGCGTCTGGGCCTTGACACTGAGTGGCCGTATATTTGCGCCCAATTAGAAAATACATATGTGCTGAGAGAGCACGCCCTGTGCGCTCCCAGCACATATGTCCATGACTCACGGAAAGGTCCCGGTCTCCCTTTAGATCAGGACCTTTTCCGTTCATGTGACCACAATGACGGCACATCACGGCGGTCAAATGACCCTAAAACCCCGTCCACCTTACAGCTTCTGAAACTCTTAAAGGGCCGGCCCCAAGGGGTGTTAAAGTCCTTGTATTATGTATAAATTCCACTTAAAGTGGAGCTCCACCCAAAAGGGGAAGTTCCGCTTTAAGGACTGCTCCCCATTAAGGATTGGCACCTCTGGGGGGGGTGGGGGGGGATCGGGTACCCGAATTTGACAGGTACCAGCTCCCACTTCCGGTCCAATCACCTAGGCGATTGGCAGCAGAAGGTGTCCTCCCTCCCTGTAGTCTTTTGGGACACGTGACAGGTCCCAGAAGACTGCAGGACCATTCATGAAGCACAGCCTTACGCGCGCATGCGCAGTGGGTACCCGGCTGTGAAGCCGCAAGCTATCACAGCCGGATGCCCACACTGAAGATGCCGGCCTCCTTGAATACAGGACGGCCTGTAAAACGGGCTGCGGGGGACACACCACGGGACCGAGGGACAGGTAAGTGGCTGTTTTTTAAAAGTCAGCAGCTACAGTTTTTGTTGCTGCTTTTATTTTTTTGACAACATGTGTGGAACTCCACTTTAACCACTTGTCCTCTCCTGAGGATTTACCCCCCTTCCTTACCAGGCCATTTTTTGCATTACGCCACTGAGTTATTTTAACTGACAATTGCGCGGTCATGCAACGCCACACCTACATGAAATTTACATCCTTTTTTTCCCACAAATAAAGTTTCTTTCGGTGGTATTTGATCGCCTGTGCGGTTTTTAGTTTTTGCGCTATACGCAAAAAAAGGCTGACAATTTTGAGGGAAACAAACTATATTTTGGGCTTTTTGCTATAAAACATGTCCAATAAAAAAAATTTAAAAAATCAAATTTCGTCATAAACTTAAGACAAAATGTATTCTGCTACATGTCTTTTAATTAGTTTACATGAAAGTTATAGCGTTTACAAATGGCGGTATAGATACTGGGATATTTTTTTTCCTTACTAGTAATGGCGGCAATCAGCGACTTTTAACCAGACTGCGGAGGGCATTCTGACACTGGGGGACGAACTAACTTGGTGACATCCCCAGTAACACCAATACAGTGATCAGTGCTAAAAAACAACACTGACACTGTACCAATGGCACTGGGAAGGAAGGGGTTAATGTGAGGGGCGATCAAAGGGTTAACTGTGTGTAGGGAGTGTTTTACTAGGGGGCTGGGGGAGGGGGTGTGCTTCACTGTTAGCACACTGATCGGGATGGCTGTGCTGTTCACAGCCATCCAGAGCAGTGTGTCTGAGCTAACAGGGAGGAAGACTGTTTGTAAGCAAAACAGTCTTCCTCCCCGTCGGTGACTGTCGGTAATCACCAGGCGCCAGCAAGTAATCACTGGGCGGGACTGGGTGATTGACATCCGCAGCTGCGAACGGCAGTGCGTGCATGGCGCGCGTGGCTCGCATGCGCCCCCTACCCAGAAATGCAAAATCACGTATATATACGTGATTTTGCTCACCTGTGCCGCCGTGTAGCAGTATATCTGCTATACGGCAGTGAGTAAGTGGTTAACAAGGTCACTCAATTCTTATAACCATTCATGCATGATTGAGTAGACATGAATTGATTTTTTACATTCAATGTGTGTTTAAAGCACAAGATTTCAGATTTCCATTGCATTAACCATGTAATGTTTTTTTATATATATATATATATATATATATATATATATATATATATATATATAAATTCTGTGCTCAGGTGCAATCCTGTAATCTCTGCGTAGCGCACTTCTTCCTGTAATCTCTGCGTAGCGCACTTCTGAGTCCTGTAATCTCTACGTAGCGCACTCCTGAGTCCTGCCCCTGTATATAGTGTACTCCTTAGTCCTGCCCCTGTATATAGTGTGTACTCCTGAGACCTGCCCCTGTATATAGCGCACTCCCGAGTCCTGCCCCTGATATAGCGCACTCCCGAGTCCTGCCCCTGGATATAGCGCACTCTTGAGTCCTGCCCCTGGATATAGCGCACTCCGAGTCCTGCCCCTGTATATAGTGTACTCCTTAGTCCTGCCCCTGTATATAGTGTACTCCTTGAGACCTGCCCCTGTATATAGTGTACTCCTGAGACCTGCCCCTGTATATAGTGTACTCCTGAGACCTGCCCCTGTATATAGTGTACTTCTGAGTCCTGCAGTCTGTACGTAGTGCACTCCTGAGTCTTGCCCCTGTATATAGCGCACTCCTGAGTCCTGCCCCTGTATATAGCGCACTCCCGAGTCCTGCCCCTGGATATAGCGCACTCCCGAGTCCTGCCCCTGGATATAGCGCACTCCCGAGTCCTGCCCCTGGATATAGCGCACTCCCGAGTCCTGTCCTGCCCTGTATATAGCGCACTCCCGAGTCCTGCCCCTGTATATAGCGCACTCCCGAGTCCTGCCCCTGGTATATAGCGCACTCCCGAGTCCTGCCCTGTATATAGCGCACTCCCGAGTCCTGCCCCTGTATATAGCGCACTCCCGAGTCCTGCCCCTGTATATGCGCACTCCTGAGTCCTGCCCCTGTATATAGCGCACTCCTGAGTCCTGCCCCTGTATATAGCGCACTCCTGAGTCCTGCCCCTGTATATTGCGCACTCTCTGAGTCCTGCCCCTGATATAGCGCACTCCTGAGTCTTGCCCTGTACATAGCGCACTCCTGAGTCCTGCCCCTGTATATTGCGCACTCCTGAGTCCTGCCCCTGTATATTGCGCACTCCTGAGTCCTGCCCCTGTATATTGCACACTCCTGAGTCCTACCCCCCTATATAGCGCACTACTGAGTCCTGCCTCCGTATATTGCGCACTCCTGAGTCTTGCAGTCTGTACATAGCGCACTTCTGAGTCCTGCCCCTGTATATTGCGCACTCCTGAGTCCTGCCCCTGTATATTGCGCACTCCTGAGTCCTGCCCCTGTATATTGCACACTCCTGAGTCCTACCCCCCTATATAGCGCACTACTGAGTCCTGCCTCCGTATATTGCGCACTCCTGAGTCCTACCCCCCTATATAGCGCACTACTGAGTCCTGCCCCCGTATATTGCGCACTCCTGAGTCCTGCCCCCCGTATATAGCGCACTCCTGAGCCCTGCCCCTGTACACAGTGCACACCTGAGTTCTGCACCCTGTTCGTATCACACTCCTGAACCCTGCACTCTGTATGTAGTGTGCTTCTGAAGCCTGTGCATAATGCACTCTTGATATTAACAATGCCTATGTAAGGCCATCCCATTGTTAGTGCAATTCAGCCACACCTATCTTTCATTCAGTGTGCTCTTCCCCTGGGGGGGGGTTGCAGTGGGGGCGTGGTTGAGTTCCTGCACCTGGGTGTGGGTGACACCATCAAGTGCACTGTGGGAGACTTGACAGTAGAGAGCCCGACCTGCTAGTCTGCCCAGTGTCTACTGCTCTGTTCTGCTCCTGCTGTCACTCTGCAGCAGCAGGACAGAACACTGTGGCAGGCTGGGAAGAAGCGCCACAGCAGTACGATGAAACACGCTGTGTGTCACCACCCCCGAGCGAGGGGGGTGACACCATGTTTTACCGCACCAGGTGACACCAGCCCTGGTGACGTCACTGCTTGTAGTTCTTCAGCAGCTAAAGGGCTGCAGATTGCAAATGCTTGTTTTGAACGTTAAAATTTGTCTTTGGTCTTCTCTATAGGATCCTTTTAATATGCATTGCTCTCTTGTCTGCTTATTCCATCCACCTCCTCCTCAAGTGTTCAGGTGTCGTTGGTAAGTGGCTTTCTTATTTTTCACTATTTCTTCTTTATACCCCGTACTGCCTCTTCTGTACACAGTGCTGTTGCCATTTACATCAGTGTCTTTCCTTAAGAAGCTCACACTCTAATGCTCCACCAGTTCTATACACACACATGCACAACGTAAGGTCAGTTTTGGGTGGAAGCTGTATTTTGTGGGATTTTTGAGGATATTGGAGTAATTGAGAGTAATTGAGAGAAAGCCACAAAGACAGAAGGACTAACTTCACGACATTTGTGTCCTTAAGCAGGACACCAGCCAAGGTTGCTAACAATTGTGAAAGCATGCTTCCGTATATAACCAAAATATCACTTTTATTATGGGACATCATAAATGAAACCTCTGTCAATTTCTATTGCACAGACAGCGTATCCAACAGGCACATTCCCATCACTTCCAGTGTGGTCACTGGGACAGGAATGAAGGTAAACCTCCCTAAAAGGGAACACAGGCAGCTTTAGAGACAGAAATTCGAACCCTTTCTTAGTCCATCCAATTATTTGGCTGGGATTTTACTTGAACTCGGAGTTCTACATTTAGCTTGGATTTGTTTTTGAATCTCAGTAGGGCCCATTAACACCTGTTTTGTCTCTCCAATCTAAGCGTTGAAAGTGTGATCTCTATAACTTACAGTTGTGATGAGATAGCGATAACTCCAATCTTAGTTGAATAACACAGGCAGTGACTCGATCTAAATGACACCTTGTAGATCTTGTGAAGTTTATTCCATAAACTGAGAGAATCTTACAACAATGAACATTGGATAGGTCAAAAGATCATAATGTGATCTGCTTCATGACATGAGGCTAGAAGCTGAAATGCATTACTGGGAAAATGGGTGGACTATCTATACAGCATGAACTAAACCAGAGCAAAGGGAGGAGCATAGAAAAAATACAAAGAACACTTAAAGGCATATGACAGTCACGTGAAACATGGCAACACCTCTAAAGTGTGGAACTCCAACACAAACCCAACAGACATTCAACACCTATGTAAAGTAGCATACTACAACACGCATTTTGGATTGAACAAAATGGTGCATGCCTGTTTTTTTGTCCATGTGGTACGTTGGCATCCTATTTATTTGGATGGACTGCCATAAAGCGCAATTAAACTCACCAGTTAAACTTTGTCTAATCTGAAAGTGACCATAAATACTGTCCATGGATCCTACTCAGGTCACTCAAATCTGTTTTCTTCCCTCTTTGCCTCTTTCTGATGTGGACTAGCGTATGTGCACAGTCCGCTGCACTCCTAGCGTCTCAACAGTGCGTTGATTCAACCATCTTGCTGGAAAGACAAAAGGTACCCAGGCACCCACTCTGGCATAAGTGCAAGTTCCATCCTGACATGCCTTTTCTGCTCTCCATAAGCAGTTGGCACCAAAGAAGATGGCACTGGCTTTGGTGGGCAGAAGAATGCTGGGGCCTGAAGTTCAAATCTAAGTCTTAGGGTAACCAAAGCAATGCTTGCAAACTGAAACTTAGATTTGGAAATGTTTAAGTTTTTTTCACAAATGCTTGTTGAGTTTAGTTTCACTTTGACGCAATGCATGGTAACACACAACATAACGCGGGGCACCAGAATGGCAAAGTATGACTGTGCCCATGGGACACTTAGAGGACCCTCTGGAACAAGGTTTATTGATTGACACTGAGATCATCAGAATTACTGCAGTTCACAGACAGTTGGATCACTGTTAATATTGTCTGGTCCAACACCTAGTATTTGTTATACATTTGTTCAGGGTTTAGTGGAGATCCCTATGAAGCATCTCACATCTAGCCATACCTTTCTTACATTCACTCTTCCTGAGTTTCCTGCTCCTTCTACAGATATACTCACCCCCTCTTCTTTTCCCCATTTACACACTCAGTACACCCAGTGACCATTTCCCATCAATTTCCTCTCCAACTTTTTCCTCCTGATCAGGTATGCGTGCCTATGAACAGCTTGGCATGAGAGCATTTGGACCCGTGGGGAAGATTATGGCAGCATTGATTATAACCATCCATAATGTCGGCGGTAAGGAATATATTTCCCTTCTATACTCTGTTTTTTTTTATATAATTTATTTTTTATTGGACATCTTTTTATGTCCTTTTCCAACTTTATAAAGTTCCATTACCTTGTTACGCAGGACTTTTGACAGTTCTTTTCTGATCCCCATGGCTCAGTATCTAGCCTAGTCAGTGCTTCCATGTAAGAGCTAACAAACTCATTGACTATTTATACACTGACACTAATTGCAATTTAAAAAGCCACAGATGTGGGACATTAACCTCTAATTGGCATTTTAACCCGTGTGTGTCACCTTGTGTGTCTGTACCAAGGCCAAACATTCCAGGGGATGTAAACTTTTGATCCGGGCCATTTGGGTGATTTCTATTATCATTATGATTTAAAAAGGAGCCAAACAACTATTTGATAATAAATGGCTTCATATGATCATCATCCTTCAATAAAAGAGCATTTTTTGGCATGATCAGTCATATTTTCAATATCAATGTCAAAATTTCACAATTTCTGCCAGGATATGCAAACTTGTGTCCATTTACATCCATTTTTCATCCGTTACATCCGTTTTTCATCCGTTCCATTTTTTTGCAACGGAAGAAGAATAGGGTTTTCTTCCATTCAAAAAACGGATGTTAACAGATGTGGACTTTAATGGATGTAAACAGATGATCATCCGTTTACATCCGATAGTCCATAGAAATACATGGGTGTCCATTTTTCATCTGTAAACGGACAGATGAGAAACGGACATACGGAACACTCATGTGAAAGGGGCCTAACTTGCAATGCTGAAGATTAAAAAAACAGCGGTTGGTGTGTTGGACTGCATAGGACAAATACAATGTTACAGATGTACCGCATTGTCTCTGTAGAATCATTTTTCGTATCAGAAATAAGCATGCCTTTTATTTGTGCAATTTGCGAGGAATCATGTAACCCAACTTTTCCTTTCTATTTCAGCTATGTCCAGTTATTTATACATTATTAAGTACGAGCTGCCACTCGTCATCCAGACTTTCATGGGGTTGACAACGAAAACTGAGTAAGATTCTATTGGGTTGTACACTTATATGTGTGTGTGTGAGAGTGTGTGTGTGTTTACCTGACTCACCGTTATACATTCCCACTGTCTGAATCCCTTCTCCTCCACAGGGCTTGGTATTTACAAGGTAACGTGCTCATCATCATTGTCACAATCTCCGTCATTCTCCCCCTCGCTCTCATGAAACATCTGGGTAAGACCCGATTCTAAGGACCTTGTCCAATCATGTGTAGAGTTCTCATAGCTAAGCAGCAATGGGTCAGAATTATCAAACTGAAATAAGGATCTCTGCTGTCCAGCACAACCAGATTCAGGCTGGCCATAGATGATGCGATCTTCTTTCCTCGCTCAATTCGCCCATCAACACTGACTGTCCCTCCCACAGGGCTAAAGTGTTCTGGCAGGAGGGCGTTGGGAGGTGTCCCTTCTGGGAGAACACAGTGACTATTGCTAGCGGCCATAGCTTCTAGAAATAATCGCATGTAAAAATCCAACATGTTGGTTGTACCCAAGTCGATCAATGGAACGACTTGGGTATAATCAGCCTGCCCATAGGTGGTTTAAATCTTGGCCTTTCCCTGCTGAACCAACCAAGATTTGAACCATCTACAGTCGGCTTAAGTGAAAAAAAGAATCTGATTGGTACCGAGGAACAATTCCCTTTCCAGGCACTTGGATAAAGAATGTCATGTGTAGATGTAGGAGATCAGCTACTTATGCAATAGCCATATGTGCTGGGTATACTATCTAATGCACACACTGTGCTGGGTGGTATGTCTTGCGTACAGACTGTGCTGGGTGGTAAGCCTTGTGTATAGACTGTGCTGTGTGGTATGTCTTGCGTACAGACTGTGCTGGGTGGTATGTCTTGCGTACAGACTGTGCTGGGTGGTATGTCTTGCGTACAGACTATGCTGGGTGGTATGTCTTGCGTACACTCTGTGCTGGGTGGTATGTCTTGTGTACACTCTGTGCTGGGTGGTATGTCTTGCGTACACTCTGTACTGGGTGGTATGTCTTGCGTACACTCTGTGCTGGGTGGTATGTCTTGTGTACACTCTGTACTGGGTGGTATGTCTTTTGCGTACACTCTGTGTTCGGTGGTATGTCTTGCGTACACTCTGTGCTGGGTGGTATGTCTTGCGTACACTCTGTGCTCGGTGGTATGTCTTGCGTACACTCTGTGCTGGGTGGTATGTCTTGCGTACAGACTATGCTGGGTGGTATGTCTTGCGTACACTCTGTACTGGGTGGTATGTCTTGCGTACACTCTGTGTTCGGTGGTATGTCTTGCGTACACTCTGTGCTGGGTGGTATGTCTTTTGCGTACACTCTGTGTTCGGTGGTATGTCTTGCGTACACTCTGTGCTGGGTGGTATGTCTTGCGTACACTCTGTGCTCGGTGGTATGTCTTGCGTACACTCTGTGCTGGGTGGTATGTCTTGCGTACAGACTATGCTGGGTGGTATGTCTTGCGTACACTCTGTACTGGGTGGTATGTCTTGTGTACACTCTGTACTGGGTGGTATGTCTTGCGTACACTCTGTGCTGGGTGGTATGTCTTGTGTACACTCTGTGCTGGGTGGTATGTCTTTTGCGTACACTCTGTGTTCGGTGGTATGTCTTGCGTACACTCTGTGCTGGGTGGCATGTCTTGCGTACACTCTGTGCTCGGTGGTATGTCTTGCGTACACTCTGTGCTGGGTGGTATGTCTTGCGTACACTCTGTGCTGGGTGGTATGTCTTGCGTACACTCTGTGCTGGGTGGTATGTCTTGCGTACAGACTGTGCTGGGTGGTATGTCTTGCGTACAGACTGTGCTGGGTGGTATGTCTTGCGTACACACTGTGCTGGGTCGAATGTCTTGCGTACACACTGTGCTGGGTGGTATGTCTTGCGTACACACTGTGCTGGGTGGTATGTCTTGCGTACACTCTGTGCTGGGTGGTATGTCTTGCGTACAGACTGTGCTGGGTGGTATGTCTTGCGTACAGACTGTGCTGGGTGGTATGTCTTGCGTACACACTGTGCTGGGTCGAATGTCTTGCGTACACACTGTGCTGGGTGGTATGTCTTGCGTACAGACTGTGCTGGGTGGTATGTCTTGCGTACAGACTGTGCTGGGTGGTATGTCTTGCGTACAGACTGTGCTGGGTGGAATGTCTTGCGTACAGACTGTGCTGGGTGGTATGTCTTGCGTACAGACTGTGCTGGCTGGTATGTCTTGCGTACAGACTGTTCTGTATGTTCCATTCATTGTACAGTCTTTACTAGGTGTTATATCCCGTGTACAGTCTGTGTTGTGTGTCATATTTAATATACAGTCTTTTCTGGCTACTATACCTGGTGTAAAGTCTTTGCTAGATGTATCTAATACACAGTGTTAGCTGTGTGTAATGTCCAGTGAACAGCCTATGCTGGGTGCTACAGTATATCCAATGTACAGTCTGCATCATGTGTTATATCCAGTATATATATAGAGTGCTATAAGGGGTGTATAGTTTGTATTGGGTACTTTATATGAAGTATATTTATTGCCTGATGTTATGTCTAGTTTACATTGTTTTGCTAGTTGCTATATACAGCACATAGTTTGTGCTCTGTGTTTTATCCAGTGTGTAGTCTCTGTTGTTTTGTTTCGTTTTCATTTAGTGTACTGTATGTTATATCCAATGTACAGCCTGTGCTGGATGTTATAATTAGTCACAGTATGTACTGTGCATTATCAGGTGTACAGCCTGTGCTAGGTGTTACACTTGATGTACATTGGGTGTTGTATCTGTGCTGGGTGTTATATCTGTGTTGGATATTATTATATCTATGTTGGATGTTATATCTGTGTTGGGTGTTATATCTGTGTTGGGTGTTATATCTGTGTTGGATATTATATTTATGTTGGGTGTTATACAGGTGAAACTCGAAAAATTAGAATATCATGCAAAAGTTCATTTATTTCAGTAATGCAACTTAAAAGGTGAAACTAATATATGAGATAGACTCATTACATGCAAAGCAAGATAGTTCAAGCCGTGATTTGTCATAAATGTGATGATTATGGCTTACAGCTCATGAAAACCCCAAATCCACAATCTCAGAAAATTAGAATATTGTGAAAAGATGCAATATTCTGGGCTCAAAGTGTCCCACTCTAATCAGCTAATTAAGCCATAACACCTGCAAAGGGTTCCTGAGCCTTTAAATGGTCTCTCAGTCTGGTTCAGTAGGAATCACAATCATGGGAAAGACTGCTGACCTGACAGTTGTGCAGAAAACCATCATTGACACCCTCCATAAGGGAAAAGTGTGGTAGAAAAACCAGATTTGGGTGCTTTTGGCAGTGTGGGCAGGTGCCAAGTCCTGCTGGAAAATGAAGTCCGCATCCCCATAAAGCTCGTCTGCGGAAGGAAGCATGAAGTGCTCCAAAATCTCCTGGTAGACGGCTGCGTTGACCCTGGACTTAATGAAGCACAGTGGACCAACACCAGCAGATGACATGGCTCCCCAAATCAACACAGACTGTGGAAACTTCACACTGGACTTCAAGCATCTTGCAGTGTGTGCCTCTCCATTCTTCCTCCATACCCTGGGTCCTTGGTTTCCAAATGAGATGCAAAAGTTGCTCTCATCAGAAAAGAGGACTTTGGACCACTGAGCAACAGACCAGGTCTGTTTTTCTTTAGCCCAGGTAAGATGCTTCTGACGTTGTTTGTTGTTCAGGAGCGGCTTGACAAGAGGAATATGACATTTGAAGCCCATGTCCAGGATCCATCTGTGTGTGGTGGCTCTTGATGCACTGACTCCAGCCTCAGTCCATTCCTTGTGAAAGTCCCCAACACTTTTGAGTGGCCTTTTCCTGACAATCCTCTCCAGGCTGCAGTCATTCCTGCTGCTTGTGCACCTTTTTCTTCCACACTTTTCCCTTCCACATAACTTTCTATTAATGTGCTTTGATACAGCACTTTGGGAACATCCAACTTCTTTTGCAATTACCTTTTGAGGCTTTCCCTCCTTATGGAGGGGGTGTCAATGTCAGATGGTCTTTCCCATGATTGTGCTTAATTAGCTGATTAGAGTGGGACACTTTGAGCCTAGAATATTGCATCTTTTCACAATATTCTAATTTTCTGAGATTGTGGATTTGGGGTTTTCATGAGCTGTAAGCCATAATCATCACAATTATGACAAATCACGTCTTGAACTATCTTGCTTTGCATGTAATGAGTCTATATCTCATATATTAGTTTCACCTTTTAAGTTGCATTACTGAAATAAATGAACTTTTGCACGATATTCTAATTTTTCGAGTTTCACCTGTATCTGTGTTGGATGTTATATCTGTGCTGGATATTATATCTATGTTGGGTGTTATATCTGTGTTGGGTGTTATATCTGTGCTGGATATTATATCTCTGCTGGGTGTTATATCTGTGCTGGATATTATATCTCTGCTGGGTGTTATATCTGTGCTGCTTGTTATACTTGGTATAACGTCTTTGCTGGGTGTTATATCTGTGCTGGGTGTTATATCTGTGCTGGATATTATATCTCTGCTGGGTGTTATATCTGTGCTGGATATTATATCTCTGCTGGGTGTTATATCTGTGCTGGATATTATATCTCTGTTGGGTGTTATATCTGTGCTGGATATTATATCTCTGCTGGGTGTTATATCTGTGCTGGATAATATATCTGTGCTGGCTGGATATTATATCTCTGCTGGATATTATATCTCTGCTGGGTGTTATATCTGTGCTGGATATTATATCTCTGCTGGGTGTTATATCTGTGCTGGGATATTATATCTGTGCTGGATATTATATCTCTGCTGGGTGTTATATCTGTGCTGGATATTATATCTCTGCTGGGTGTTATATCTGTGCTGGATATTATATCTGTGCTGGATATTATATCTGTGCTGGATGTTATCTCTGTGCTGGATATTATATCTGTGCTGGATGTTATCTCTGTGCTGGATATTATATCTGTGCTGGATGTTATATCTCTGCTGGATGTTATTTCTGTGCTGCATATTATATCTCTGCTGGGTGTTATATCTCTGCTGGATGTTATATCTCTGCTTGGTGTTATATCTGTGCTGGGTGTTATATCTGTGCTGCTTGTTATATTTGGTATAACATCTTTGCTAGGTGTTATGTCTGTGCTGGGTGTTATATTTTACAGTCTGCCCTTTCTTTTGTTTTTCTTTCATACATTTCATGTGAGAGAGTTTAGAATAGTTACAATATTTATGAAAATAAACTTTTTTTTGTCTTTTCTCATACATTTTAGAGACAGGCCAACACTTAAAGCTGAACTCCGGGCTAAACAAAGATTGTCTAAATACAAAAACTTTTTGTATTCTTAAATCTTTTGTTTTTAACCAGTAAAAGATGGCTACTTAAAATTTCAAAAGTACAAAATATTGACAGCTGACAATAGTAATACAGTTCAAGTACCATACATTCGTATGATACGTACAGGAATGTATCTGTAGCATCTGTAAAAACCTAACTAAAGTCACAAATCGGTTAGAATAATCAGAAAATTATAAAGTTCTGATATACTGTATACCATCAGTGTGTACTGCAGGTCTTCAAGGCTCATGAGAAAAGAGAAAAAGTAAAAAAAGGAAGGGGGATGAAGAATCTTACTTAAATATTGATTCCGTTTGTGTATTTGGTTAGATATGTGCAGTAATTCAGCATGAGACAGCTCCTGCATTTTGTGTTGGAGCTTCCTGTAATAAAGACCGGTCACTGCTGCTGTCTCTTCTTGTGCAGGGTGGCTGGTCTTGTCTCCACCCCCTCCTGTAGTTCCTGCAGGCAGCCTGTAGTGGGTGGGACCTGCTGGACCCCTCCCACAGTTGTGCTCTTTGCTCAGGCTATGTAAAGCATAGTGATGATGTCTCAAACACATTTACAAATGAATGCCTTGGTTTGCAAATGCATTTGATGTACACAAAGTGGACTCATATCCTTTGTGGATATTGAGTAACCTATTTCTATGAAATGTTTTATGCCCGGAGTTCAGCTTTAAAGTGTGTGAATGAATCCTTATATGCTAATAATCCTTCTATCTCTTTCAGGTTATCTGGGATACACAAGTGGCTTCTCTCTAAGCTGTATGGTTTTCTTCTTGAGTGTGGTAAGCTTGAATTTTTGACTTTTACAACAAACTTTTTAGTTCTCTTATATCTCTGAATAGTATTTGTTCATCTCCTCCAGCTTCCACTGTAGAATTTCGATTCTCTCTGTCCCATCCAGGAGTCTTGGAGCAATTCAAGACTATAGCACATTGACGGCCGGGCGGAACACTTGCCGTTGTGACTGGGCGTCATATGATGTCCTGTCAAAACAAGCCACTCACGCGGTCACGGGGCCGCGCGATCTGTCACAGTCTGTGTCCACGGGACACAGCCGATGACATATCACTACACCGGCCCGTTGTCAGTGTCATGTGACCGCCGTGACCAATCATAGCAGATCACATGTCAATTGTATACAATGGATGGCTTCCTGTCATACCATCCATTGTATACAATTATGTTGTTAGCTGTGACTGATCAAGGCAGTCACATGATACAGACAAGGCCAATCACAGCCCATCTGTATCATGTGATCAGCTTTGCCCAATCACAGCTAATCACAACAAAAGACTGAATGAATCAGTTTATTTATTTCAGGTACTTATATAGCGCCGTCAATTTACGCAGCACTTTACACATAAATATTGTACATTCCCGTCAGTCCATCAGTCCCTAACCCTCAAGGGGTGTACAATCTAAGGTCCCTTACTTACATTCATACATACACATACTAGGGACAATTTAGACAGGATCCAATTAACCTACCAGCATGTCTTTTGAGTGTGGGAGGAAACCGGAGTACCCGGAGGAAACCCACACAGGCACAGGGAGAACATACAAACTCCAGGCAGGTGGTGCCATGGCTGGGATTCGAATCGACGACCTGCCAGGCGGAAGTGCTAACCATTTAGCCACTGTGCTGCCCATAGTTTCATTCAGTAACAATGATTGCAAATATCAATGAAATACATAGGTAATAATCATAATGTGTTAAAAAAAAAATCCTGATCACTTGCCCAGAGTAGGTCAATGTTACTATGGTAACATTGTATTGCTTTGGTCACAGTGTGCTGAAAAATAAAATGGTAAAAAAAAAAAGAAAAAATGTAATAATAAATAATAGAAACATTTGAAAAAAAAATACAAATGCAATTATTATTGTTGTTTGCACCAAGAAATGTAGCAGAATACATTTGACCTAAATTTATGAAAATGTTATTTATTTGCAAAATTTTATAAAAGAAACAAAGAAAAGTGTGTTTAGCAAAAAATAAAAAACTCAGTGGTGATCAAATACCACCAAAATAAGCTCTATTTGTGTGAAAAAATGATAAAAATGTCATATGGGTACAGTGTTGCATGACCGCGAAATTGTCATTCAAAGTGTGACAGCGCTGAAAGCTGAAAATCGGCCTGGGCAGGAAGGGGGTATAAGTGCCCGGTATTGAAGTGGTTAAGCTCCTAATAGCTATTAGCAGCATATTTTTTCTGCTCCTAGAAGCTATATAGTGTTATCCTATGTGTCCATGTACACTATCTTAAGCTATTAGTATTTTTTGTGCTTCAACATCTAGGAGCAGAAAAAGGTTTTTGTAGAGTTTTTTGGAGCGTTTTTCCAGCAAAACGGGGGTAAAATAACAGGAGACCACTGTTGTAGACTAAGGGGTAGTGACCAAAACCAACTCCAAAAAATGCAACACTTGCCTTATATGATTCAGGATTAGTCTCAGAAGCAGTGTCTTAGCAGCAGGATGACCAGATGAAAATAAAGGAAAGAAGACCAAAATAAAAGATTGCAGACCTCATACCTAAGGACTGGGTAAAAACAGCAACATATTATTCTTAGCAAATTAAAGCTAGCCTATGGATAACTAATGTTGTAGACCAGGGCTCTCCAAGCATTATAAACAAAGGGCCAGTTTACTGTCCTTCAGACTATAGGAGGAATAGTCTGTGACCAATGGGAGTAGAAAATGCCTCAGCTTCAGTGGGAGTAAACAATATATCATGCTTGGTGGTCAACGGGGGTAAAATAAAAATGACATAGTACCTGTGGTCAGTTGGAGGAGGAATAGCACTTGATCATTGGTATTAGTGGGAGGCATCATTATTCCCCATTGTTGATGTCAAAGGGAGGAATAGTGACCCACTGGTATCCGTGAGATTAATAGTGCCCCATCATTGGTATTAATGGGAAGAATAATGCACCATTGGTGATGTCAATGGGGGGGAATAGTGACCCATTATTGGTATCGGAAGAAATAATGCCCTATCGTTGGGGGTCAGTAAAAGGAATAGTGTCCCATCGCTTATATCAATGGGAGGAATTATGCCCCATTGTTGGTGTCAGTGGAAGGAATAGTGCCTCGTATCAGTGGAAAGTCTGGATAAGGTCAAGCAAACAGCCACATCCAGCCCGCAGGATGCAGTTTGGAGACCATTGTTGTAGACTAAGGTGTAGTGACCAAAACCAGCTCCAAAAAATGAAACATTTGCCTTATATGATTCTGGATTAGCATTGTGGATCACTTTTCTTGGGTTTCAGCCCTTTGCCTTCATGCCCTATTGATATCTCACACTTGTGTCCTGTGATCATTATGTTCAGGTCATGTACAAGAAGTTTGTAATACCTTGTCCCCTGAGCAACTCAACAACCACAGAGCACCACCTCTACACCAACGGTTACAATACAACTACTGTCAAAGGGGAGGAGTGCGCCACTAAGATGTTTACTCTGAACACTCAGGTATGTCTAAGTTTACCATTCCCCTACTAGTTTCATCTGTGACTGAATGCCAGGGAAAAGGAAACAAGATCCCAGTTTAGCCAGGCTAATGAATTCCCATTAGCTTCAGTTGGTTTACTGTAAACTACAGCCGAAACCTTTAATTTTTGCTTTTGATACTGAAGGGAAGGGCAAGGGTCTCTGATAGGCTTTGTTGCTGTCTGAGTCCATATTAGGGAGATTTACCCTCATTTCCTGTCAGGAGAGAAAGTAGTTGGTAATATCTCTCAAGGGGACATGAGCAGAGACAAAAGCACATTTTTAATAGAGCGTGAAAAAGAAAAATCTTCTCTTGTATTAAAAGAGGTATAGACTCCAGAGAGATATCATATTACCCCGCTACAAATCATTAGTAAGAACTCATCTGGAATATGTAGTTCAGTTTTGGGCACCAATTAACAAAAAGAACATTGGGGAACTGGAGAAAGTCCAGAGAAGGGCAACCAAACTGATAAGAGGCATGGAGAAGATCAGCTATGAGGAAAGATTAGAGGAACTGAATTTATTCTCTCTTGAGAAGAGGAGATTAAGGGGGGATATGATCAACATGTATAAATACATCAGTGGTTCATATAGTGAACTCGGTGTAGAGCTATTCACCCTGAGGTCATCACAGAGGGCAAGGGAGCACTCTTTACGTCTGGAGGAAAAGAGATTTAATCTCCAAACACGGAAAGGTTTCTTCACAGTGACAGCTGTGAAAATATGGAATGGATTCCCTCTAGAGTCGGTTCTGGCCAGCTCAGTGGATTGCTTTAAAAAAGGCCTGGATTCTTTCCTAGATACACAGAATATAACTGGATACTAACATTTATAGGTATAGTTGATCCAGGGAATATCTGATTGCCTCTCTGGGGATCAGGAAGGAATTTTTTTCCCTGCAGGAGCAAATTGGATCATGCTTTGTTGTTTTTTTTTCCCTTGCTCTGGATCAACTGTGGGTGTAGGATTATAATTTTTTTTTTAATGGTTGAACTAGATGGACTTTTGTCTTTTTTCAGCAAGACTATGTAACTATGTAAACTTGTGACATTGGTTTTATAGCTATCCTTGCCGTCCTGTCCCAGTGACAACCACTACCCTATTTCTTGTACAGATGCAACAGGAAGTGAGGGTATATCTACCCAATGGGGTTACAGACAGAGACATACATTTTAACTCTTCCAATTCTATCCAAAACAAAACTAATGGCTGAAGTTAGTGGACCGAATATTAAAATTCACACTTAACATGAATCAATAAAGCAGAATTTTTTTCTTGCTAAAGCTGGCCAGCTTCTCCAGCTAAGCCTTGAAGCAAGGACAGAAGAAAGTCAGCTGCTGGCAATTGTATTCAGCAGCTGCTGAATACCAATAGTGCCCGTAGCACAAAAAAAAATAGCAGAGGGCAGACATGACTAGGTGAATAGGGTAGGACAGACAGTAAAAGGTTAAGGAAAGGTGGGAAGGCTTTTAAACATGTTAGGCTTACCTGATTGGTAATTGGTAATGGGTGGGCCTTTGGCACCTTTGGGAGCGGTGGAGGGTCGAATGATCCAGAAGTAGCAGTGGAAGAATAAACTTCCCTCCCACCCTCCCTTGGGGTTGTCTGGGTCTTCTAGTTCCCGGTTTGTTCTGGTTTTGGGGTGTTTGTTGGTCTTTGGAGGCGGCAAGTAATTTGAAGCTAAAGTGAATGGTTGCGACTTATCGATGGTATGGTGTGCCTGGGTGCATTCCGGTTAACCAAGTTTTAACTGGAAGGTAGAGGTTGTGCAATGCAGATTGTGTGTTTTGTCTCTGAGCCGGTACGTTGTGGCTGAAGGCTTAGTATTAATATCATGGTTAAGGTTCCACAAGGGGAGATCGGTATTGTTTTGTGCCTTCTAAGACCAATAACTTTTTACTGTTATGTTTCTGTTTTAAGGAATGTTTTGTGTTGTTTAAGTTGAATTGTTAATAAAAGGCTGTGATGGCCATTTTACTCCAATGGTGGTTTGGTCTCCTTCATTGGTATAATTAGAGTTTGGCGGGGGGGATATGGAATGAAAGAGAGCTGTGTAGCGGGTGGTTCAGTAGCCATGGTCTTAACTAGCACATCTATTCTACACTAGTCATGAACAGGGATTGTGACGGACTGGATGCAAGGGTTGCTCAGGTGAGAATTTTAGGACCAACTCCTTCGACTTCTTCAATTGACTTTTGTTGAGCAGGGAAGGAACTTTTGTTGAGCAGGGAAGGGTGCTTACAAGGTATGACCACAGTAAAAAAATGTTCCTTTCTTTGACCTAAAGGCATGAACCTTCATGATCTCCGGCTTCCTGAAGCATTGCTGGTGTCATTAGAGACTTTGAAGAGTCTGTTGTTTACAGTCAAGCAAACATGCAGTAGGATAAGAGGCCCAGTGAGGAACAACCATTGTATGGTGCCACTAAGCAAGGCAGAGGCTGTATATGTAAAGAGAAAATATGATGGTCCTCTTGTTCTTCTCTAAGAATACATTGCACAGAAACAAGTTGTTTTTTTTTTTTTTAAAAAAACCTCATACTGATAGGATTATTAACATAAAACGAATATCTCTGTGGGCTGCAGTTTCCAAAAGTAAGTCCATTTTTCTATTTTATTTCAGACTGCATATGCCATCCCCATCGTTGCTTTTGCTTTTGTTTGCCACCCTGAAGTTCTGCCCATATACACCGAGCTCCGCAGGTAGGCAGCTGGGGTAAAGTGATAATGTGTTGATTGTGTTAGAGGATGTGGATCTATAATGGTCTAATGTGTGATACACCACACCAATGGCACAACTTCCATACACACACCACAACAGTACTCTAATATTTATTTATTTCAGGTACTTATATAGCGCCATCAATTTATGCAGCACTTTACATATATATTGTACATTCACAACAGTCCCTAACTCTCAAGGAGCATATAATCTAAAGTCCCTAACTTACATTCATACATATACATATTACTAGCATGTCTTTGGAGTGTGGGAGGAAACTGGAGTACCTGGAGGAAACCCATGCAGTCACAGGGAAGCATGCAAACTCCAGGCAGGTGGTGCCGCGGTTGGGATTCGAACCAGCGACCCTAATACTGCCAGGAGGAAGTGCTAACCATTTAGCCACTGTGCTGCCTATGAGGCTAAGCAATGCAAAGAGCAAGAGTGTGTGGGATTCCCTGGTCAGAATTCAGCTCATTTCACTCCTGAAAGACATAACTGGGAACTGTCTTATTGCCAGCAGATTGGTATTTCTGTTCAGCCAGGTTTCTAATCCAGGATTTCCTTTCCAGGCAGCACAGCCAGTTCTTCACCTCGTTTTTTTTTAGTGCAGTTAAAGGGTAACTCCACTTTCATGGGAAAAAAATTGCAAATAACAAAAAATAATAGAGCATATACAATTGCTGTACAAGTCATATTGTAATTGAATGTTATTAAAAGAGTTCTGTTCAGAAAAAATGCAGCATGTTCTACATTTTTTTTCTGCTACTGGAACGCACTGGAACTGCAAGCACTGATGTGAACTTTGACATTGACAACCATATAACCTACTTTCTGCGTGGTTTGGATGCAGAAAAAGACGCAACTGAAACGCATGGAGTGTGAACTAGCCCTTATATTCACCTAAGTAGTAGATGCAGCATTGGTCCGATGCTGCATCTGTATCCCGCTTGCTCTGCGCTGAGAACTAAGCAATCAAAGACTGCTGATTGCTCAGTTCTCTTCTCTGAGCAGAAAGTCTGGACTGTCAGGCATTGGCTGTCTGCTCTGCCCCTCCAGCACTCACTGGAGCACCAGGCTGTGAAGGGGGCAGGGGAAGCTGGCTTAGGCTCAGTTTGGAGTTCAGCTTTAAACCTCAGATGCAGCCATTTATTTTATTACAGGTAATTGTGCTGTCAATTTACGCAGCGCTTTACATATATATTGTCCATTCACATCAGTCCTTAACCCTCAAGGGGTGTACAATCTAAGGGCCCTAACTCACATTCATAGATGCACATACTAAGGGCCAATTTAGACAGGATCCAATTAACCTACCAGTATGTCTTTGGAGTGTGGGAGGAAACTAGAATACCCAGAGGAAACCCCACACAGGCACAGGGAGAACATGCAAACTCCAGGCAGGTGGTGCCTTAGTTGGGATTTGAACCAATGATCCTAGTGCTGCTAGGTGGAAGTGCTAACCATTTAACCACTGTGCTGCCCATATATGACACATACACCTTACATTCATGTTGATATGCTTTGAATATACACTTGTACAGTTTGCATTTATATCAGCTCTACAGTATTTATTTTTTCCCAGTCCAGTTATTTCCATTTACTCCATAACATCTTTTGTAATTATTAAGATATATAATATCTTGCCTTGTCCACCAAATCAACACCTCAAATGTAAACACCCCACCCACTTAATAAGGCAACTCACCCCTTTCATTGCTGTGTGTAAATTTCAGCTTTTTACAACAAAGGAGCAAAAGAGACAGAGGAAAACAAGCGAAAAGGAGCCTTCTAACTAAAAATAGGAGCACGCATATTAGGGTGCTATTTTATATGTATTTATCTGACTAAAAAAAATAAAAATACATATTTTTTTATTACGTTAGTTTTGCTCATAGACAGAAATATCTATAAAACCACTATTCATTTTCGTTAAACTTAATTTAATAAAGAGTTTGAAGTATACCCACAAAGGGATGCTGGGTACTTTTTAAGATTTACAAATACATGAAAGGGCTGTGATTGTGCACTGTGCTGGTTGCTGGGAAACAAGATTTCTGAGAATTCAGGGTTGAGCTGTCTTCGTACACCTTTACCTACTGCTAGAGGGCACGCATATATTTGGAAAGAAATTTGATGCATCAAAAATCGCCCTGGGATATTTCCTGTGAAGCTGTACAAACCGGCATCTTTGTGTTTCATCCGTGTGATCTTGCATCGTATTTTTTATGCGCGGCTGGCGTTTTATGTATGTCAACACAGGAAAAGAGAACAATGTGTGCCTTTGGAAAAGCACTTTTATACATGTTTGCTTCTGCCTTTGAAGCATGTTTTCTATGTAGGTTTTTCTTGCGCATTCTGAGGTTGTCAAGAAACTCAAGACAAGCACAAAGAAGGGGTCAGCTCATTTCAGTGCTATATTAAAAGCAATGTACAATAGGTATATACAGTACGTATCTTCTTTATTAGAATCAGGACTAAAAATATACCATGTTTAAAAATTTAATGTTTTTATTTCTTTTAATCAGGTACAGACACAATGTTGCATATTAATATTTTGCATTCTGTTTTTAGGACAAGGCAGCAGGTGGAGCTCTAAGCTCTTTTTCGCTTGCATATCTTTATCTCTATTTGCCCTCATCGTAAAATGTATTTTATTTACAAAAGCTCAATAGCCCAAGCTGAAATTTACACATACAAGTAAGGAAGTGAGAGTAACGACTCCTCCATTATTGGATAGCTCTGTGAAAAGTTTTCATGAGAGATAGCCTCCTGAAAGACGATTACCGCTGTACTGTCTCTCTAGCAAGCCCATACTCTTCTGAGAATCCTTTCTCATGTATTAAATGTTTGTTTGCTAAACAAAGGATTTTAAAATTTACAAGCTAGAAACAATTTGACCCAAAACCATTATCTTTTCCTTTTAGAAAGGCCTCCAAGACAAATCAAAATGCTTCTCTTAGAAGTCTCTAATGGAATAAGTTATTCTCAAACTCAGACTGCTAACTTTTCTGACATAGAGAAGGGCAGAGGGAACATTTTTACAAATAGGGCTTATCTTCCACTTAAAATTGCATCAATGGAGTTTGCCCACAAGTGAGTCATTGCCATAGAATTAATGTATGGTATTGGAACAGTAGCTTCTTTCAAAGTCTTCCGAAAGGCATTTTGTTGTTTCGAAAGATTCCCATTAATACTGGAGAAATGGTTGCTGTGCTCAACCATATAGCTTGTATTTTGACAGCTTGTGCTTCGGTCTTTACTTGTAGGTCACCTTGTCCCTCTGCTGGACAGTGTTTTTTTTTTTTCAGCCCAATAGCTGACAACACAGTAGCTAAAGTATGTCACTGTTATCTATGCAGATCCGTGGACTTATACAAGCATTTCATAACCACTATTCATAGGGCAAATTCTTCACACAAAATGACATAAATATATACAGTGTGTATATATATATATATATGTGTGTGTGTGTGTATATATATATATATATATATATATATATATATATATATATACACTGTGTTCCAAATTATTATGCAAATTATATTTTTCTCATTTACCTAAATAATTGATGTAAATAACAGTCAGCATAATTCTCATGTTATCAACTATTAAGAGTACAATTCACATTTTATTGAACAAACCTCCTAATGATAACAGGATTTGTTTTAAACATAAAACACTTCCAATGCACTGTTCCAAATTATTACGCACAGTGAGTTTCAAAACACTTTATAGGTTGTAAAGAACTGAAAATTGTCATTTGTTGTGTTTGCAGCATATTTACTGAAATCAAAAGCTATTTCAATCAAACTTTTAACAACATTTTAACTTTTTAAACATTTTAACAGGTCACGTTACATTGTAACATAGGACCCCTTATTTGATAGCAGCTTCACAAGTCTTGCATCCATTGAACTTGTGAGTTTTTGGACAGTTTCTGCTTGAATTTGTTTGCAAGATGTCAGAATAGCCTCCCAGAGCTGCTGTTTGGATGTAAAGTGCCTCCCACCCTCATAGATCTTTTGCTTGAGGATGCTCCAAATGTTCTCAATAGGATTGAGGTCAGGGGAGGATGGAGGCCACACCATGACTTTCTCTCCTTTTATCCCCATAACAGCCATTGATGCAGAGGTATTCTTTGGAGCATGAGATGGTGCATTGTCATGCATGAAGATGATTTTATTACGGAAAGCATAGTTCTTCCTTGTGTACCAGGGAAGAAAGTGGTCAGTCATAAACTCCACATACTTTGCAGAGGTCATCTTTACACCTTCGGGGGCTCTAAAGGGGCCGACCCGCTCTGTTCGCATGATTCAGGCCAAAACAACACTCCACCACCACCTTGCTGACGTCGCAGCCTTGTTGGAACAGGGTGGCCGTCCACCAACCATCCACTACTCTATCCATCTGGACCATCCAGGGTTGCACGGCACTCATCAGTGAACGGGACTGTTTGAAAATTAGTCTTCATGTATTTTTCAGCCGTTTCTGCTTGTGAGCATTAGTTAGTGGTGCCCAAATAGAAGGTTTATGCACAGTTACAAGATTCTGAAGGACTCTACACCTTGATGTCCGTGGGACTCCAGAGGCACCAGCAGCTTCAAATATCTGTTTGCTGCTATGTAATGGTATTTTAGCAGCTGCTCTCTTGATCCGATGCATGGATCTGGCAGAAATCTTCCTCAATGTGCCTTTATCTGCACGAACCCGTCTGTGCTCTGAATCAGCCACAAATCTCTTAATAGTGCGATGATCATTCTTACGTTTTCGTGAAATATCTAATGTTTTCATACCTCGTCCAAGGCATTGAACTATTTCACTCTTTTCGGCAGCAGAGAGATCCTTTTTCTCCCCCATATTGCTTGAAAATGGTGCTCTGCTTAATAATGTGGAACACCCTCCTTTAGTAGTTTTTCCTTAAATTGGGCTCACCTGCCAATCTAATTATCACAGGTGTCCAAGATTGTTTTCAGTGATCGAAAGAGCCCTGACACACAATGCCATCCATGAGTTAAACTGAAAATCAAAATATTTCATCTTTGTGACATGTAAATAGAATTTGCATAATAATTTGGAACGCGGTGTGTGTGTATATATATATATATATATATATATATATATATACACACACACATCTCCCGCAGTTATTACCATTTGTACCACTTTCCCCACCCTATTAGATTGCAAGCTCTTATGATCAGGGCCCTCTTAACTCTATTGTGTTTTATTGTATTGTACTGTACTGCCTCCCTTTAGATTGTACAGTGCTGCTCAAACAGATGGCATTATATAAATCCTGTAATATAATAATAATAATAATAATAATTGTAATCCAAGTTTATTTCTTTCCTCCATCCAGAGCTACCAAGGCCCGAATGCAGAATGTAGCCAACGTGTCTATCTTTGCTATGTTTATCATGTACCTGTTAACTGCAATTTTTGGCTACTTGACTTTCTATGGTGAGCATCCTGCTGATTGGCTGGGTCAAGGGTGGTGGACACACAGACCTTCACAAAAGGAATTACGTAGCTTGTGTCACTGGAAAAGTTAAAAAAAAAGGTTTTGTTAGAAGAGAATTTGATTCAAAGTAGTCTTATTTAACAAGCTCTTCACAGTGCTTATGTATGGAACTTCTGCCTCTTTTCACATGACTTTGCACTGTGTGTAGATTTCTCTTCTAATAACTAGAGAAAATTACACTGAAATCTGCATAACCCTCAATCTAAATTTTCACTGGCTGTAGGTTAAAGGGGAATTAAAAGATAAGTTCAGCTTTCATACCATGTTACATGTTGCACCCGTATCTGGGAATCTTCTTCCCGCACCCACTGTCACAGTTTAAAAAACACGGCCATGAGGGGCTCCACTCACCTGGCCGTCATTCATTCACAGTGTTTTGTAAATGGGAGAACTACAGCTACCATCAGCCATTGAGGCTGATGGCTTGTAGTACTCAATGAACTACTAGGGTGCTGATGAATGCACTAAGTAGTTCATTGATACTTCCTGTCTTTCAGTAACTGCCTGCCAGATACGGGCAGAAAGCTACATTGACAGTCTGCAGGAGCCTGAGATTGCACCTGCTGATCTGCTTTATAGGCTCCTAAAAAAAAAAAATGCTAATTTTTTGTTACCTTCAAAAAGATGTGCATTTATTATTATTGTTTAAAAAAGGTGAACTTATCCTTTAAACCTTCCTATCCTTTGGAAGTAAAAGATGGTTCTTAGACTCTATTTAGATCTGCACTTACCATGGTGCTGCAGATGTGATCAGCTATGACGAGATCCATTTGAGGGCTTGAAAGATGACAGAGAGCTGACATAAGCACAGTGACAACAAGGTGTGCCTTGAATGTAGCATACACTGTGCATGCTCTAGCAGGCAGAATGTAAATGAAAACTCCACCCCCCCCCCCAGGGGTGTATTTACCACAAGGCAAACAAGGCATTTGCCTAGGGTGGCATATTTTAGGGGGGCAGCACTGGTCCCTGGAAGAAGGGACATATGCGGCATGGGGACCAGGTGGGATGCGAGAGAGGCTGCGGGCTGATTGATGGTATATGCAGAGCCCAGCTGTCATTCCTGGGGATGGCCAGAGCTGTGAAGGTGAGTGTCTTTCTCTCTGTCACTGGGGATGGGGGGAGGGGGGTTAGTGGAAGGCTGTCCCGGGTGGGGGGGACGACAGGGCAGGGGTGTTGTTGGTCACTGTCAGGCTGTCTCTGTGGGGGGGGGGGGGGTCTGGTGTTGGTTGGTGTCAGGCTCTCTACGTGGGGGGGTCTGCTGTTGGTCAGTGTCAGGCTCTCTCTGCCAGGGAGGGGGGGCATCCGATTTTTGTGTTGCCTAGGGCAGCACAAAACTTAAACCCCCTGCCTAAATCAGTGGTCTCCAAACTGCAGTCCGAGGGCCAGATGTGGCCCTTTGCTAGCCTTTATCTGGCCCTTGGGGTAGTAGTCCTCCCACCGATATGAGACACTATTCCTTCCACCAACTCCAACTGTGGGGCATAATTCCTGCCACTGACACTAATAGTGGGGCACTATTCCTCCCACTGATATCACTAATGGGGCACCATTCCTTTCACTACTATCAATGATGGGGCACTATTCCTCCCATTGATATCAATGATGGGGCACTATTTCTCCCACTGATATCAATGATGGGGCACTATTTCTCCCACTGATATCAATGATGGGGCACTATTTCTCCCACTGATATTAATGATGGGGCACTGTTTCTCCCACTGATATCAATGATGGGGCACTATTTCTCCCACTGATTCAATGATGGGGCACTATTTCTCCCACTGATATCAATGATGGGGCACTATTTCTCCCACTGATATTAATGATGGGGCACTGTTTCTCCCACTGATATCAATGATGGGGCACTATTTCTCCCACTGATATCAATGATGGGGCACTATTTCTCCCACTGATATCAATGATGGGGCACTATTCCTCCCACTGATTTAATTGATGGGGCACTATGCCTCCCACTGATTTCAATGATGGGGCACTGTTCCTCCCACTGATATCAATAATGGGGCACCATTCCTCCCACTGACACCAATGATGGGGCACTATTCCTCCCACTGATACCAATGGTGGGCCACTATTCCTCCCACTGATACCAATGGTGGGCCACTATTCCTCCCACTGATACCAATGGTGGGCCACTATTCCTCCCACTGATACCAATAGTGGGCCACTGATACCAATGGTGGGCCACTATTCCTCCCACTGATACCAATGGTGGGCCACTATTCCTCCCACTGATACCAATGGTGGCCACTATTCCTCCCCACTGATACCAATAGTGGGCCACTATTCCTCCTCCTACTGACCACAGGCACTATGTAACAGACTATCAACCCTGTGGCACTATTTATTCACACTGATATTGGGCCAGGGACAGTTTCAGTGTCTGAAGGACAGTAAACTGGCCCTTTGTTTGTAAAGTCTGGAGACCCCTGGCCTAAATGATAGAACCTTACCAGCACACTCCCAACATGGAAGATATAAGCACTCTGGCTTGTTCAAAGACTGCACATGTGCGGTGCTCAATTCTGTAGCCACAGAAGCTGGGCTCAGGGAAAGAGAGATTGTGTACTGCATGGTATTTGAACGAGCCAGAACACTTAATCCTGTGGTGTTGGAAGCTCGCTTGTAATGTCTTTTCCATTTAGGCAGAACAAGGATGGGGAAGGTAGGCAGGGGCCGTCTACTCAGAGATTTTGCAGAGAGGTGTATGACCTGTGGGTATGGATTGCCAAAAGAGCTTTTTTTTTTTTTTTTTTTTTTTTTTTTTAAAGAAAAGTTGAATGAATTGTAATGTTTTGTGGAAAATGTCCCTATTTGTGAAATACCCCCCTAAGGATATGATAACATTTGTTAAAAAATTTCTAATTTGAGCTTTCATTTGGAAAACATTTAATTGGTGGGTTTAGTTCTGCTTTAAGAAACATCCAGGAGATAAGGATGCAGGTGAAAATACAGGAGGAATGCAAAATTTAGGCAAATGTTTAAATACACATATGGAATGCACATATGTTAACTGCCTTATTAATAAAACATTGCCTGCATTATACTCTGTTAGGTGAAGTGGAATCGGAGATGTTGCACACATACATGAAGGTAGACCCCCTTGATAAGCTGATGCTGTGTGTTCGCCTTGCTGTACTGGTGGCCGTCACCCTCACTGTGCCAGTCGTCTTGTTTCCGGTAAGACGAGCTTTTCTCACTTTTTCATATTCAGTGTGTCAAACATTCGCATAACTTATGGCCATTCCTGTCTCAGATCCGCAGAGCCATCCTGCAGCTCCTCTGCCCAGGACAGGACTTTCGATGGTGGAGACATACGCTTATTGCCGTCTGCTTGCTCTTTGCGGTCAACTTGCTGGTTATCTTTATTCCAAACATCAAAGATATTTTTGGTGTCATTGGTAAGATACTGTATTCTTTCTATTGCAGGTAGTTTCCACCTCATAGAAGGTAAAACGTATGCATTCATAGTTTTCTAATGATTTAAGGTGAGGTGAATTATGTATTGTTTAACTGCTTTCCTGCCGCCCTATAGCAGATATACTGCTACAGGGCGGAAGGGGTGCGCAAATCACGTATATTTACATGATTTTGCATTTCCGGGAAGGGGGCGAGTATTTTTTTACAGTGTGAGTGGAACTCCACTTTAAGGTGCTGAATCAAAAACTACTCATGGGGTAACTTATTCTCCTTTCTCTTACTACAGGAGCCACTTCAGCACCAAGCCTGATTTTCATCCTTCCAAGCATATTCTATATAAGAATTGTTCCTAATGAAAAGGAACCGCTGTTTTCTCGTCCAAAGATTCAGGTCTGTGTGGCCATATGCCTTGCCTGCATTTGACCTCCTTTTTCTTTTTTTTTTTTCCCTCTGTGCTACCTTCTCATAGTTTATATACAATTGTGTTCAAAATAATAGCAGTCAGACATCACTAACCTGATCAATCACTGTTTTTGGTAGAAATGATATTTCTACACGGCAAATAATTTACTAGCAGGTGTAGTAGAGTAATAGAAATCCAACAGACCCAACAGTCATGACATGCATGCTGCTGATTCTGTGTAATTGAATCAGTAATTGAAAGGAGCATGTTCAAAATAATAGCAGTGTGGAGTTCTGTTAGTGAGGTCATTCATTCTTTGAAAAACAGGTGGCAATTATTGCCTTTATTTAAGGAAGGAAGGCAGCAAATGTTGTACATGCTGGTTACAGTGCATTTCTCTCTGAAATTCTGAGGAAAATGGGTCGTTCCAGACATTGTTCAGAAGAACAGCGTACCTTGATTAAAAAGTTGATTGAAGAGGGGAAAACATATAAAGAAGTACAGAAAATGATAGGCTGCTCAGCTAAAATGATCGCAAATGCTATACAATGGCGACCAAAACCTGAAAGACATGGAAGAAAGCGAAAAACTACCATTTGAATGGATAGAAGAATAGCCAAAATGGCAAGGACTCAGCCAACAATCAGCTCCAGGAAGATCAAAGAAGGTCTAAAGTTACCTGTGAGTACTGTTACAATTAGAAGACGCCTATGTGAAGCCAAGCTATCTGCAAGAAGCCCCCGCAAAGTCCCACTGTTGGAAAAAAAGAAATGTGCTGAAGAGGTTACAATTTGCCAAAGAGCACATTGACTGGCCTAAAGAGAAATGGTGCAACATTTTGTGTGGACTGAAGAAAGTAAGATTGTTCTTTTTGGGTCTAGTGGCCGGTGACAGTTTGTCAGACGACCCCCAAACACTGAATTCAAGCCACAGTACACTGTGAAGACAGTGAAGCATGGTTGCGCAAGCATCATGATATGGGGATGTTTCTCATACTACGGTGTTGGGCCTATTTATCGCATACCAGGGATCATGGATCAGTTTGAAGACATCAGAATACTTGAAGAGGTCATGCTGCCTTATGCTGAAGAGGAAATGCCCTTGAAATGGGTGTTCCAACAAGACAACGACCCCAAACACACCAGTAAACGTGCAGCAACTTGGTTCCAGACCAACAAGATTGACGTTATGGAGTGACCAGCCCAATCCCCAGATCTTAATCCAATAGAAAACTTGTGGGGTGACATCAAAAATGCAGTTTCTGAGGCAAAACCAAGAAATAGAGAAGAACTGTGGAATGTAGTCCAATCATCCTGGGCTGGAATACCTGTTCACAGGTGCCAGAAGTTGGTTGACTCCATGCAACACAGATGTACAGCAGTTCTCAGAAACAGTGCTTCTACAACTAAATATTAATTAAGTGATTCAAAGGAAAGCAAAATCTTCAAACATTTTTCAGTTTATATAGTGAATGTTTGAGTTTGTAAAGAAGAATACAAACATTGCTATTATTTTGAACACAACTGTATCTATAAAAAGGGTCCATGTTTCATCTAGACCAAGTCAGCCTACCAGGTGACACCAAGTTAGATAAAACCAAATCTAGGTCCTTTTTAAGTAGTAACTAATCCTCATTTCTATGACAAGTATTTTAGAACTCTGAGATAGCATATAGCCAGTGAATTTGAATCTGCTGACCTGCATACACATTCTGGGTTTTTGAATCACTTAAAAGGTTAGTTCACCTTTTCAGAAAAAAAAATGAACTAGCACAGTACACCCTCCCCATCATTCCCCCAGTACCCGCTGTACTTACCCCTGTAAGTGATGAGCAGGATTTGAAAACACCGCTCTTCTCCCTCTTCTTTCTGCAGTGCTTCCAGGATGGATCAGAGCAATGCTTTGTGTTGTTGCTGACCAATCAGAATTCCTCTGATCCATCCCAGAAGCACAGAAGAGGGAGAAGAGCATGAATTTCAAATCCGTGGACCACAATATGCCTGCTGTGTAAACATTGACAGCTCATCACCCATGAAGGTAAGTAGAGCGAGGGCCAGGAGGAGGGTGTATAGTAGACACAAACCCAACACCTCCTGTGCTCAGGGACCCAGATGAGAAGAAGGCCAATCGAACAATATGATGAATGTTCATTCAACACTGATCAAAGGCTGTACGGCTCAAACACGAAGCTGAGGAAGCTCGATATACATTGGAGTAGAGAACAAAAAAAAAAAACAAAGCGCACCAACCTTGCGCATTACCTCTGAGCTCTGAGGAAGAAGGGACCCCCCTTCGAAACGCGTCAGCTTGACCAAGAGATTATCTCCCTTCTTGATGGGATTTTCACGTGTCTCCTAACCCAGTGTTCTGGTTTTGGATGTTATATGCCTTTTATACTGCTATTCTTGTGAGTATAATTTTTATCAATAAAATTATTAATTGCGTACTGAGATAATGCGCAAGATTGGTGCGCTTCGTTTTTTTGTTCTCTACTACGGAGGCTGAACAATGTTAGTTCACCTTTAAATTTTTTCTGAAAACTTTTTCTAAACTTACACTTTAAACAGCAAATGCTAAGGACAGACATTACAGCTAGGGAACATGCCCATTTTCAATGGCAGCACCCTGATTCCTGCCATAGCTAGCTTAATTCAAACTGACGGACATAACAATGTTCTCGATCTCTGTAATACACAAATAACCACTTCCTGCCATCAGATGTTTTTTTCCTTCTCTTGTCTTCATTTATGCCCCATAACTTGAAGTCATAGCTTTCCGTTCTTTCCACAGGCTGCCATCTTTGCTGCCATGGGCTTCGTGTTCATGATCATGAGTTTGAGTTTTATCATTGTGGACTGGGTGACAACGGGAAAAAGCAATGTCGGGGGTCACTAGCCCCTACTTGGTTCCCCTCTCCCACTGGATAAGGACATTAGGCCAGTTCTTCTGAGACCTGTGTAGGCACAATGGACAGGTCTGTTGACCCCATCAACATCGGAATGTTGGTTATCGTTGTGAAATTCAGGAACAGGTGGCCAACAGGAGAGAGGGGCTCTCAGTCATTGCAGGACAAGATGATGTATGCCAAAAGTGCCCCCAGCCCAGAATCACCTCCCCATCCCCCCAGCTGCTGCAGGACATCACTACAATCACTGTTTGTGTTGTTTCCTTCTTCTTTGGTGTCTCGGTAACTGCAGGACCTTGGCTGTCTGTCCTGTACACCAGTCACTGAGACATACAGCGGTTTCCCCTGAGAATTCATGCATGCCAGGTCACTTATCCCCTGATCTGTACCAAAATCAACAAATCACAGTGCATCTACCTCACTGACCCTGCAAGACAAGGGTATCTGTGTGTCGCACTCAGGGGATCGGGTCGTCTCTCTGAGATAGGCCACAGCACAATCATACAGCATTATCATGTGCCATGTAGCACCACATAGTGATACAGAGTATCTCCAGATGTCTGAAAACTGCCTTCACATCCTTCCTTCGTGACTATACATCCTGATGTAGAATCACTGCATTGCCTTTTTTACCAGGTCTGAAAGTTACAGAAGCCGTACAGGTTTTTTTTTTTGTTGTGCCCTTGTTATGTGAAGGACTTGAGACAGTTGATGGATAGGTAGCCATCCATCCATAAGGCAGCTGGTTCCATCCAAGAAAGAGATACTCTCTGCCTGACAATCAATGCTCCGTCCCAATCACTGTGAATCCAGTGGGATCGCTGCACCATCCGAATCAATTGGTCTTCCCACGTAACACACTCACACACGTGTTCAGCGGTTGAAGAGCAGCTGAAAATACCTTGGTTTACACATGTGGATTGTCAACCGATCGAATATTTTAATAAATTTTAAACAAGTTGTCAGTTTTATTTTTTTCTACTGTGTTATGAGATAATATGCTATCACTGGGTTTTTTGTGTTCTTGTCCTCTTTTTTCTTAATGTTTTTTTTTTTTTGGTGGGGACTATGTAGTGTGTTAAAAGATCACTCCACCAAAATTGTAGAATTATGTTTTTGGTAGAGAGTCCAGGGCCTGTTTGCCTGGCAGAAGTGATGTCTGGGTTAGTGTAGCCGATGAAGGGGACCTGGGTTGAAAAGCAATATATTGTCATTTCTACAACAGATTGCGGCATGCTCAAATTGTCAGGAATCTCTGCATGTATATACAAAAGGCTCCTGTATATCAGTCTAAACAAGTTCCAAATCCAGTTTCATTGTGATGCACAAACATCATAAAGTAAATTAAGAACTTCCTTTAACTTCCCTGACTGAGTCTTTCATATGTATCTCACATGCTCTCCCTCCCAGACACTGCAGCTCACGGTGGGAAAGTTTCAGCCACAGAGTCTAGTGCTATCTATCCAGAAAGCAGTGGTCAGGACTTGGGACAGCCAGGTGCTGAATGAAAATCTACAGGCTTCTTAAACAGCACCGACAATGCTGATACACACGCCCCCTACAGCATTTATTCTTCCCACTGTAGTACAAGGAGGACCAGGCTACATGTAAAGGGCAACTCTGCTCTGGATTCATGAGCAGTGCAGCATTGTTGCCACTCCATCACAGGAGACTGCATAAAGGGGACTTCACTGACAGGATCAACAGATACAGTGAAGGAAATAAGTATTTGATCCCTTGCTCATTTTGAATGTTTTCCCACTCACAAAGAAATGATCAGTTTAAAAATCAAATGGTAGGTGTATTGTAACACTGAGAGACAGAATAGCAACAAAAAAGTAAAAAAAAAATGCATGTCTAACAAATTATGCACTGATTTGCATGTTCATGAGAGAAATAGGTATTTGATCCCCTATCATTTAACAGGATTTCTGGCTACCAGGTGTCTTTCATACAGGTAACAAGCTGAGATTAGAAGCAGTCTCTTAAAGGGAGTGCTGCTAATCTTATTTTGATACCTGTATAAAAGACACCTGTCCAGAGGAGCAATCAAACAATCAGATGCCAAACTCTCCACCATGGCAAAGACCAAAGAGCTGTCCAAGGATGTCAGGGACAAGATTGTAGACCTACACAAGGCTGGACTGGGCTACCATTGGCTGCGTGGGCAAAACATTGAAAATCAGCAGGGGCTCAAATACTTATTTCCTTCACTGTATATACTAAAGGCTCCTGTATATCAGTCTAAACAAGTTCCAAATCCAGTTTCATTGTGATGCACAAACATCATAAAGTAAATTAAGAACTTCCTTTAACTTCCCTGACTGAGTCTTTCATATGTATCTCACAAGCTTCCCGTCCTAGACACTGCAGCTCACAGTGGGAAGGTTTCAGCCACAGAGTCTAGTGCTGTCCATCCAGAAAGCAATGGGCAGGACTGGTGACAGCCAGGTGCTGAATGAAAATCTACAAGCTTCTTAAACAGCAGTGACAATGCAGATACCTATTGTAGTACCCATTGTAGTACAAGCAGGACCAGGGTACATGTAAGGGGCAACTCTGCTCTAGATTCATGAGCAGTGCAGCATTGTTGCCCACACCATTACAGGAGACTGCATAAAGGGGACTTCACTGACAGGGTCAACAGATGTGTGAGACTTTGACTATGAGAACACTGTAAATGCAGATGCATTTATAATCAAGTACTGCAGCATCTTTTTTTAAGGGGGGACCTATAATTTCTACCTTAACCACTTCCCTTTTGGCCCATGTACATAAACGGCTGGACGGGAGCAGTGCCAAAGCGGATGGCTGTTTATAAATGGCTCCCGCATTCACTGCCTGTGTGTGCTCCCTGGGAGCGTGCAGCACCACGGAACACCGATCGCTGTATGGGACCTCTGTGTGAGGTCCGGTTTCATGTGATCACTGATTGGCCAGTCAGTGATCACATGAATAGTAGTAAGCAAGATGTCTTGTACCATGTGACAAGCTGTGACCAATAGCAGCTCTCAGAGTATTTCTCAGTGGCTGCAAGAATGCAGCCAGAGAGAAGGAGAAATTATTGCTTTTACAGCCTTTATGGGTATAAAAGCAATCAGTGTAAAAAAAGAAAAATACATTTTCATCACCCCACCAATCACAGCTCTCACAGTATTTCTCAGTGGCTGCAAGAATGCAGCCAGAGAGAAGGAGAAATTATTGCTTTTATAGCCTTTATGGGTGTAAAAGCAATCAGTGTAAAAAAAGAAAAAAAAATCTTCATCACCCCCCACAATTAGTACAGTGTCACTATGGTGACACTGTACTGCCAGGGTGATAGTATGTTAAAAAAACATAAATAATAATATAAAAAAAATGAAAATGTAAAAAAAGTTTTAAAAATTATAATTTTTGGTTATAAACTAATTTTAGTTATTTTATTTTTTTTTTTACTAAAAGGATAGCTGAATACATTTTGGCCAAGATTTATGAAGAAAGATTATTTATTTGCAAAATTTTATAGGAAAAACACTTTTTTTCAAAATGTTTGGACTTTTTCATTTATATAGCAAAAAAATAAAAATCCCAGTGGTTGATAAATACCACCAAAATAAAAAAATTCATATGGGTACAGTGTTGCATGATCTCACAATTGTCATTCAAAGTGCTATAGCACTGAAAGCTGAAAATTGGGCTGGACAGGAAGGGGGTAAAAGTGTCCGCACTGGAAGTGGTTAAAGAATCTGTTATATTTTAAAATTCCTATTTGAAGAAAAGTGGATAAGACTGAAACAAGGAAACGCTGTCATTTGTAAATTGAAAGGGTTAGTCCACCGAGAACTGATTATCCTTGTTATATATTATAAAGAATGTAAGCTGAGGAGCTGGAACACTAAAGGTGAATGGGAACACTCAAAGCTCTCAAGTCGACAGGAACAGAGTGGAAATAATGGCAGGGAAATCCTGTTCTTTTGCTATTTCCTTTATGGTTTTTTAAAGGTTTTTTTTTTTTTACAACCACAGCAATTGCAGCAGAGACAGTCCTCAGGCAACCTAAGCAGGAGCCTAGGGCCCAGTGGATGTCCAGGAGACCCTGCTGCAACCCTCATGCTCCTGCAGTAAACCAGAGGAGAGCGCAAGGGGTCAAAGTTGTACAACAACCTGTCATTTCACAATGGATGATGCACTTGACTTGTAGGCATATGTTGTATAATTCGAGCATGTCAGTACAAGACAATGCAAATAAGTTGGTTCCTCTTTGCTTACTATGATTCTTATCTATGTCAATTGAAGGGATGGAGAGGAGGACAAAGCTTCTACCTTGGCTGCAGCCCAAATCTGTCTCTGAAATTCAGGTATCCTTTGTGAGTCTCTACAGATAGAAATGTCACCAGCCATTTCTGGCAGGAAAGTGTGTTGGGATTGAGCATTTTCTTTGGATGATTCTGTCTCCAAATAAATGCTATTTCCTTAAGCCCCAGGTGCTATAACACTTTTTCATGCCTGTAATTGGTCTTTGCATTACACGATCACACTTTTCTTTATAGCTCAACCTCCATTTACTTGTGTGCAGGGTATTAAAGGGTTAGCTTTCTTTTTTGTGCTGCCCCATTTACAGCCTGTTCAATTTACCCTCTAACAACCTTCCCTTAGACTCTGATAGCTGCAGGGAAGGGGGAAGAATACGTATGTAGAGACAAAGTCACCTAGGAATGAAATAAATAATAATGTCAGATGATGGGAATGAATCTCAAGGTCAATATTAGAACTTTTTTTGCACCTAAATCTATGGGTAGATAAAGTCTATTAAATTCTCTACAAAGACCTAAAAAGCAATTGCTTCATAAAATGATAAGTGTTGGTCTGTGGCAAACTAAAAGCAACATTTTAAAACTGGAATCCTTAAAAAAAACTTCTACAAACGACTGCGCTAAGCATGGAAGTAGACCCGTTTTTACATGGCAAATATTTACATATTTATTTCAATATCAGCTTTTTAGAGATTGAAAAATATACTGTTCAATAAAACACAAATATGCAATGACCATAAAAACAGCTAGGCAACTGTGAGTGAAGCAATCACAATAGTGACAAGAGGTTTCTGATTCCTTGCTGGGGTTCACACACTTTGTATATTGCCATTTGCCTTCCTAATACCTGTCATGCCTCATACATCCAAACATTGCTACAGTCAGGTCCATAAATATTGGGACATCGACACAATTCTAACATTTTTGGCTTTATACACCACCACAATGGATTTGAAATGAAACGAACAAGATGTGCTTTAACTGCAGACTGTCAGCTTTAATTTGAGGGTATTTACATCCAAATCAGGTGGACGGTGTAGGACTTACAACAGTTTGCATATGTGCCTCCCACTTGTTAAGGGACCAAAAGTAATGGGACAAAATAATAATCATAAATCAAACTTTCACTTTTTAATACTTGGTTGCAAATCCTTTGCAGTCAATTACAGCCTGAAGTCTGGAATGCATAGACATCACCAGACGCTGGGTTTCATCCCTGGTGATGCTCTGCCAGGCCTCTACTGCAACTGCCTTCAGTTCCTGCTTGTTCTTGGGGCATTTTCCCTTCAGTTTTGTCTTCAGCAAGTGAAATGCATGCTCAATCGGATTCAGGTCAGATGACTGACTTGGCCATTGCATAACATTCCACTTCTTTCCCTTAAAAAACTCTTTGGTTGCTTTTGCAGTATGCTTTGGGTCATTGTCCATCTGCACTGTGAAGCGGCGTCCAATGAGTTCTGAAGCATTTGGCTAAATATGAGCAGATAATATTGCCCCAAAACACTTCAGAATTCATCCTGCTGCTTTTGTCAGCAGTCACATCATCAATAAATACAAGAGAACCAGTTCCATTGGCAGCCATACATGCCCACGCCATGACACTACCACCACCATGCTTCACTGATGAGGTGGTATGCTTAGGATCATGAGCAGTTCCTTTCCTTCTCCATACTCTTCTCTTCCCATCACTCTGGTACAAGTTGATGTTGGTCTCATCTGTCCATAGGATGTTGTTCCAGAACTGTGAAGGCTTTTTTAGATGTCATTTGGCAAACTCTAATCTGGCCTTCCTGTTTTTGAGGCTCACCAATGGTTTACATCTTGTGGTGAACCCTCTGTATTCATTCTGGTGAAGTCTTCTCTTGATTGTTGACTTTGACACACATACACCTACCTCCTGGAGAGTGTTCTTGATCTGGCCAACTGTTGTGAAGGGTGTTTTCTTCACCAGGGAAAGACTTCTTCGGTCATCCACCACAGTTGTTTTCCGTGGTCTTCCAGGTCTTTTGGTGTTGCTGAGCTCACCGGTGCTTTCCTTCTTTTTAAGAATGTTCCCAACAAGTTGTTTTGGCCACGCCTAATGTTTTTGCTATCTCTCTGATGGGTTTGTTTTGTTTTTTCAGCCTAATGATGGCTTGCTTCACTTATAGTGACAGCTCTTTGGATCTCTCATTGAGAGTTGACAGCAACAGATTCCAAATGCAAATAGCACACTTGAAATTAACTCTGGACCTTTTATCTGCTCATTGTAATTGGGATAATGAGGGAATAACACACACCTGGCCATGGAACAGCTGAGAAGCCAATTGTCCCATTACATTTGGTCCCTTAACAAGTGGCAGGCACATATGGAAACTGTTGTAATTCCTACACTGTCCACCTGATTTGGATGTAAATACCCTCAAATTAAAGCTGACAGTCTGCAGTTAAAGCACATCTTGTTCGTTTCATTTCAAATCCATTGTGGTGGTGTATAGAGCCAAAAATGTTAGAATGGTGTTGATGTCCCAATATTTATGGACCTGACTGTATATATGCCTGATATATATGTGTGCATGTCACCTAAAAAGAAGAAATTTCAACAAATGTAGAAGTATTGCATTCATTGGCTTTTTGGTAAAAATGGAAGTTAATTACTGCTCCATAAGACACACCTACGTTTTAGAGGAGGAAAACCAGAAAATACATATTCTGAACCAATGGACTACAGAATAGTACAGGAGATGACCAGAGACTGCGGACACAGTACAGGAGATGACCAGAGACTGCAGACACAGTACAGGAGATGACCAGAGACTGCGGACACAGTACAGGAGATGACCAGAGACTGCGGACACAGTACAGGAGATGACCAGAGACTGCGGACACAGTACAGGAGATGACTAGAGACTGCGGACACAGTACAGGAGATGACCAGAGACTGCGGACATAGTACAGGGGATGACCAGAGACTGAGGACACAGTACAGGAGATGACCAGAGACTGAGGACACAGTACAGGGGATGACCAGGGACTGCGGACACAGTACAGGGGATGACCAGAGACTGCGGACACAGTACAGGGGATGACCAGGAGACTGCGGACACAGTACAGGAGATGACCAGGGACTGCGGACAGAGTACAGGAGATGACCAGGGACTGCGGACACAGTACAGGAGATGACCAGAGACTGCGGACAGAGTACAGGAGATGACCAGGGACTGCGGACACAGTACAGGAGATGACCAGGGACTGCGGACACAGTACACAAGACGACCAGAGACTGCAGACATACTACAGGAGATGACCAGAGACTGCAGACCTTTGGGGAGTGGAGGAAGGGTGAGCAGGTATCCGAATTTGACAGGTACCTGCTCCCACTTCCGAGGAGTTGTCCTCCCTCCCCGTATTTTGGGATACGTGACAGGTCCCAGAAGACTGCCGGACCATACACAAAGTGCAGCGCTTTTCGCGCATGCGCTGTGGGCACCCGGCTGTGAAGCAGCAAGTTGTCACAGCCGAGTGGCCACACTAAAGATGCCGGCACCAGGGAGAGAAGACAATGAGGACACCGCTGGACCGAGGAGCAGGTTCTGCTGCACAGAAAAGCCGGCCCAGTATTCTAACATGACGGCGGCGGGCCGGCTGCTCCATATTCGCTCCACAAGACTGTGTGAAAGGGGCAAAAAATAAGGCTGGCCAGAGATGGATTGCTTTTTTTCCATAAGCCAGGCTGATTGACCAAAATAAAAGGATTCCCATACCAACTCAAGTGGCGTGGATGAAGGAATCCTCCCCACTGTGTTCGTGTATTTCGACAGCGGGGACTCCACCACAGTCAGAATACACCGCTCACTGCTGCAGCCAATTTGCTGCAGCCACTGATCGAATGAAAAATTTCCAACTTTGCACAGAGCAGCCCAAATCCTCTTCTTTTTGGGTGCCTGACTCTTTACCTTAGAGCAATGCTCCTGGGGGCACTGCTGTGTGCTTGCTCCCTAGCCACTGAGCTATGTATCCATAGCACAAATAGAGCCCTGGCTCGGCCCCCGCCCCCCGGCTCTCTCTTCATTAACTCACTGGCTGTGATTGACAGCAGCGGAAGCCAAAGGGCTCCCACTTCTGTCTCAACCAATGAGGAGGGAGAACCCCCATACAGCCAAGGCTCTTGTGAACATTGCTGGATCGGAGGGAGCTCAGATAAGGATGGGGGGGGGGATCACTGGAAACAGAAGGTTTTTTTACTTTCATGCATAGAATTACACAATTGCATTGCATGACAGTGCAAAATACTAGTTGAAATAGCGCAGTGCCAAATAGCAAAAAATGGCCTGGCCATGAAAGGGGTAAAACCTTCCAGAGCTGAAGTAGTTAAAGTGGACTTCCACTCAAAAGCTCCACTTATTTGCCTCCTCCCCCCCTCCGCTGCCATATTTGACACCTTTTGGGGGGGAGGGGGAACCTGGTTTTTCCAGGTACCCGCTCCCAGTTCCAGCTCAGTTTGCCACGGCGAAGTGATCCATAATTTCGGCCCTCTCTTCCTTCCTGCAGACTCCTGGGAACTTTCACAGCTCCCAGGAGACTGCTGGACCAATCGAGGCATGGCACTACTTGCACATGTCCACTGGGTACCAGGCTGTGAAGCCGCAAGATGTCACAGCCTGGTGCCCACAGTAGAGATGCTGGCGCCGTGGAGGAGAGAAGGGACGGCACGTGTGAGAACATTGCTGGACCCTGGGACAGGTAAGTGTGTGTCATATCACAAGATATGGTAAACGGCCAATCACAGCGGCCTTTTACCACGTGATCAGCTGTGTCCAATGGATACCGGGTAAATACAGTTGCCGGTTATCAGCTGCACTTTCCTCACGCTGTCATAGCATGAGGAAAGTACTGCCGATAACCAGCAATTGTCAGAGAAGTGATCGGCACTGATCATCAGGGCACTGGAGATCAGTGCCCAGCAGTGCTGCCCACCTGTGCCACCACCTGTGCCCAGTAGTGCCACCCACATGTACCCATTAGTGCCACCCACCTGTGCCCATCAGTGCCACCCACCTGTGCCCTGCAGTGCCACCCATCAGTGCTGCCTATCAGTGCAGCATCATCAGTGCCACCTATCAGTGCCTCCTATCAGTGTCCATCAGTGCTGCCTATTCGTGCCACCTCATCAGTGCCCATCAGTGCAGCCTCATCAACGCACATCAGTGAAGGAAAAAAATTACCTGTTTGCAAAATTGTATAATAGAAAAAAAAACTTTTTTTCAAACTTTTTGCTTTTTTTTTGTTTATAGCGCAAAAAATAAAACACCCAGTGGCGATTAAATACCACCAAAAGAAAGCTCTATTTGTGTGAAAAAAATGACACAAATTTCATATGGGTACAGTGTTGCATAACCGCGTAATTGTCATTCAAAGTGCGACAGCTCTGAAAGCTGAAAATTGGCCTGAGCAGGAAGGGGGTATAAGTGCCCGGTAGGCACGTGGTTAAAAGTCAGTATCTACAAAAATGTCTTGAACTCCGCTTTAAGGAATATTATCATTTGGCTGACAAAATATTGTTGATAAAGTTGCGTTATATATCAATAAATACCACCAAGGCCTTGTTCACACTTGGCTTCTTCCCAAACGGCCCTATAGCATTAGACAGGCATTTTCCAAGCATTAAAAACCCTCCCCAAATGCACTATGCATGGTTTTGAGGTGTTTTATAGGCATTTTACAAGCGTTAAAACCGCACCACAAACGCCTATAATGAACTTAATGGTATTAACGCCCCGCAAACGCCTGCCAGGTATTTGAGGAGTATCACCATAGACTTGAATGGGAGGCAATGAAAGGCTTCAACTCCTCCTGACTCTACATGAGGTGTCAATTTTGACGCGACGCTAATGCTTCAGTGTGAACAGCACTGTGTGCTGCTATAAGTATCATTTTCATGACCCTATCCTTTTTTTTTTTTTTTTCAGTCAATTTTGCTTATTACTATGGCGCCTGATGTATGTAACATGAATACATTGGGGGGAATTTACTAAAACTGGAGCAGACAGAATCTAGACAGCCATGCATGGCAACCAATCACGTATATATAGGTGATTTTGCCATTCCGGGTAGGGGGCACACCTCCTACCAGTGCGGCCATTCGCGGTCTCGGCTGTCAATCACCGGGTTCCGGCCAGTGATTAATCACTGGCACCCGGTGATCACCGAGTATTACTGACGGGTGAGAGAACTATATGTAAACAATACAGATCTCTCCCGTCAGTTCTTGCACATTACTTTGTATGGCTGTGCATAGCAGAGCCATACAAAGTAGTGTGCTTACAGTGGAAAGCACACAGACACAGCTTAGTGTGAAACAGCACACAGTTAACCCTTTGATTACCCTACATGTTACCCCCTTCCTGCCCAGTGCCATTAGTACAGTGTCTGTTTTTATTAGCACTGATCACTGTATTGGTGGGGATATCAGTGACACCAAGTCAGTGTCAGAATGCCTGCCGCAGTCCCGCAGTCCTGCTATAAATCACTGATCACCACCATTACTAGTATAAAAAAACATTTCTTTTAAATCCCAATATATATACCGCCATTTGTAAATGCTATAACTTTCACATAAACCAATTCATTTACACAAATATACAAGTCAAATATACAAGTAGGGATGCGAGCCCCTTAGAGATGAAACCAAACAAGCTACTATACACAACAAGGGTAACCAATTTCACCCTGGATCACAAATAATATATATATAAAAGTGCAGCGCTAATAAAATTAATAACTAAGTAAAATCAATGCAAATAAGGGTGCAGTGCTATGGATAAATTAATATATAAGTATAAAATCTGCTAAATTGATATAAATTGACAATCATATATAAATAAGTGTATAAATAAAGAAATAAATAAAACAGTTTATAAAGTGACTCTTGTGCTCCTGTGTTATATACAGCCGGTGTCCGTGTGGTGATTTAGTAGATAATGCGCACTCACCAGACGCGCATACAAAATGCGCCTTTATATCAATATATCAGATGTCATCTGTATGGGCTCAGGAGCTAGGTTGTTTTCCTTCTAAGGAACTGGGTGGTCTTCCCTCTAAAGGGTGGCAGGTCATCAGACAGGATCTGTATGGGTTAGTAAAGATGATCCTCGTCCGTCAAGGTTCCCTTTAAGGGATGAGGCTGGTATTGTTCCCTGGGTGGTGGTCCCTTTAATGAGTGCAGGGATCCATCCTGATGTAATAGGATCTGGGAATGGAAGACTCCCCCAGGGAGTTAGAACAAAAGAATGTCCATAGTGTAGTAAATTATAACTGAGTTTAATAGGGCATAAATGAGCCAAAAACATTAAAAAAGGATGCATCCATATGAATCCAAAATTAATCTTTAATCAAGGTAGAAGCTCCCTGTGCAAGGGACTGACCGTAAGGTATTCACAGATGGCCGCCAGAGCTCCACGTTGACGTCACAGCGTGATGTGGCTCCTCCTGACGCATATCGTGCTCAAACATGTCCTCAGAGGGGGGTCATTTATTTTATTAGCGCTGCACTTTTCCATATATATCAATTAATTTACATGTATTGGGAATTTTTTTTTTTGCAAAGACATGTCACAGAATACATTTTGCCCTAAATTTATGACAAAATTAGATTTTTTAATTTTTTTATTTGATATGTTTTATAGCAAAAAGTAAAAAATTTTTTTCACACAATTGTTGGGTTTTTTTTGTTTATAGCACAAAAAATAAAAAATGCAAAGGCAATCAAATACCACCAGAAGAAAGCTCTATATGTGGGGAAAAAAGGACACAAATTTAATTTGGGTGCAGTATTGCATGACCGCGCAATTGTCAGTTAAAGTAACACATTGCAAAAAATGGCCTGGTCAGGAAGGGGGGTAAATCCTCTGGAGGGCGAGTAGTTAAGAATACTAGGGTGCACCTTAGAATTTCGTGACCTTTAAAAAAAGATATCTGCAGCTTTGTATGGTCACTTACCATTTACAATGTGGAGTACATTATACCACACATTCATCTTTTCCAATGAAAGCTTAGAAAAAGCAATAGTCATTTCTTAGCAACATGGTCGATGGAACCGGAATGTAAAACAAGGTAGCAAAATTCCAATATATGGAGCTGTGTAGATCTGCACAGAGGAGAAGATCTTGTAGGCCAAGAGCCACAGGAAACATTGCAATCACTGTTCAGAAAGATGGTAGTCAATTAGGTATTGAGAAACAAGGGGGAAAAAATATGTTTTTACACCTAAGACAGTATATTTCATTACAAGGGAAATTTCTTTTTTCACACCTATGACTGCCAAGTTCATTATCTTCCATGCTATGGTTTTTAAAGCCCAATACGGCTATTGTGGTTTTCTGTCAAGTTCAACTAATATACTGGAAGAGAAAAAAATGTAACGGCTAAAAAAAAAAAAAAAAACCCACAAAAGCGGAAAGACCATGAAGGTGACATCATTCTTGTGTCAGCATCACAGAGCTTATTCATATGGTGCAAGCAAAGTGCAGAAATCTATCCATGGAAAG